TAAGAGCATCGATGGGATGTTGTTTTAAGCACATGAAAATCACACCTTCTCATTTTTACAGGAGCATAAATCTGGAGCACATCTACTAACTGATGGTCTTGCTTTTGTAGAGGGAGCAAATATTGGGTGCTAAATATGTTTCCTGGTGCAAAACCAGCAGGAAAACACTTACTCTTTGCTTTTAAATAACTTATGAAGGATCCACATCAGGGGGCAGGAGGAATCCGTTGCTGTGTTACGATGTCAGCTTGTGTGCTTTGTTTCTTAGGTCAAGATGTTGTTTTCAAGTGCCTTGGAGAGAATATTCTTCAAAATGCCTTTGAAGGCTATAATGCTTGCATCTTTGCCTATGGGCAAACTGGTAAGTCCCTTCTGGACATAAGCAAAAAGTACTGTTGATGCAAAAGGTGTTAAGTCCCAACTGGAGGCTCTTTGTGGCCGTTGTGACATTGTTTCTGGAGAAGTGCCTTGTACTGTAGATAAGAAATGTTTTTCTCTTTTGTAACATCAGATAGGAGGTGGACAGGATGAGAAATAGGATTGTGTCTGTTGCTGCTGGCTACCCTTATTTCTCATGCCTTAGATTGTAATCTTTGAAATGATTGTGATCGTCCTTGAGTTCAAGTGCATCACTCATATATTCTGCCTCTGCAGTTAGAAACATCTTTAATCATCAGTTTGAATGTCATGTGCAAAAATTAATATGCTTATGCAACTGATTTTTCTCATTATGGCACATGTGAAGGTGATGTGAGGGCTGGAGACCCTCTGCTGTGAGGCCAGGCTGAGAGAGTTGGGGGTGTTCAGCCTGGAGAGGAGAAGGCTCTGGGGAGACCTTCTTGAAGCCTTCCAGTATCTGAAGGGGCCTACAAGAAAGCTGGGGAGGGACTTTTTCCATGGGCTTCTAGTGATAGGATGAGGGGTCATGGGTTCAAACTGGAAGAGGAGAGATTCAGATTAGACATTAGGAATAAATTCTTCACTCTGAGGGTGGTGAGACACTGGAACAAGCTACTCAGGGAAGCTGTAAATGCTCCATCCCTGGAAGTGTTCAAGCCCAGGTTGGATGGGGCTTTGAGCAACCTGGTCTAGTGGGAGGTGTTCTTGCCCATGTCAGGGGGTTGGAACTAGATGATCTTTAGGGTCCCTTCCCACCAAACTATCCTATCATTCTGAACGTGGGCTATAGTGGGTTGTCTTCAACAGCATGGCCATTTACCTGAAAAAATGTCCTTTGACAGTTTGAACTAAATTTCTTGTTCTGCTTCTCCTTTTAATTAAATAGTCTTTAGCTAATTGATGCTTTGGTTGCTTTAACATTGAAAACTGCACAAATATCTTCCTCTAATGGACCAATTATTTTTTTCACCTCTGCTCTGTTTCTTTTTCATGTTCTGCAAACCAAGATACTTTACTGCATGTCCACTAACCATAGATTCAATCACACAGGGTCTGGAAAGTCATACACAATGATGGGTACTGCTGACCAGCCTGGATTAATCCCTAGACTTTGCAGTGGACTCTTTGAAAGAGCCCAGAAAGAGGAAAATGAAGAGCAGAGTTTCAAAGTGGAAGTATCCTACATGGAGATATACAATGAGAAAGTCAGAGATCTTCTTGACCCCAAAGGGCAAGTAATTTGTGTAATAGGTTGTCATACACTCTTCCTTTCCAAACCAGTTTGCCTTAATGGATCCCATCTAAGGCATTTGCATAAGGTGGCTTTTGCTTCTTCCTGATCTCATGATTTTAAATCCAAATATAGTAGTAGGACTAAAAGCTTGGATTAAACTCACCCTGATGCTGGCTTTTATGAAGTGACAAAAACATCTATGTCTGCATTTTACTTGTAGACAGAGGGTTTTTTTTGTTTGCACTGTAGTCACTGTCCTGTGCTTTATTATGGTGTTTTTAAGACCATCACGTTTGAGATCTGTCCCTGAGAAACTGCCTTTCTGTAAATGTTGTCTTAAGTCAGTCATGTGCTTAAAAATAACCTTTTTTTTTCCAACCAGAAGCCGTCAGACACTAAAAGTGAGAGAACACAGTGTTTATGGGCCTTATGTAGATGGTCTGTCCAAATTAGCTGTTGCTAGCTACAAGGTAAGGATCAATTTTATGAAAGGCTTGTGTTGCCAATCTAAACATCAGGGTGCTGTCCCTTGAGCAGGTCAAGATTATTAAGCTCCTACTAATTGCCATGGCAGCAGGGTGGATTTTAGAGCAAGAGAGCTGTAGGATTATTGTGTTGTGTTCACTGGGGAGAACAGAATTAAGAGCAGAAACTCATCTTCATTCAATAATAATATTCAATAATTCTGGAAGTAATTCAACTATTTCATAAAACTGCTTTCCTCCCAAACTTGAGCTGTGTGTTCAGTGTATCCATGAGGAAGCATTTAGTGATTAATTACAGAGCAGGATTTAGCAGAGAGGGGCTTTCAGTAGCACATTTTGTCACTTTTTGGCTGTCATGCTGTTGCAGAGTAATTTCTCTTACCAGCAGCACTCAGACACATTGCAGCTATCAACAAATGTTCATTTACAAGGCAAACACTTGAGAACTTTGCATGAGACTCCTTTGCTGGTTAGTAAATGTTTACAGATGCAGTCAAAAAATGCCCACTTTTTAAGAAGCATTGATGTAGTGGGGGAGAAATGAGGAAATATGGGATGGAATTCTGGCATCTTAAGCAAAACAGGAGAATGGTGCAGTCACCCTCTTGCAGTCTCTCCAGGTAGTCCTCTCTTGGTGGTTTCTGTTAGGACAAGACCCATGACATGCTTTTCCTGTATGTGTTGCCCAACAGCTTTGTGTAACACAGCACACAGAGTCAAAGTGGCCTGTGGTGGTGTTTAGATTGATTATTTTGGGGTTTTTTTTTTAGCATTTTTTTTAGCATCATCCAGTTAGATATGCTTAAATAAAAGTTAGGCCCAAGACTCTAAAGTTTTAACTGTTTTACAGGATTGCTGTAAAACTGAAGTAGGGGAGCTATGTATTTTTGAGTATCACAGTTTAATATATCAGAGGACTTTATAAGCCTTATATGTAGGAGGAATGTACCTGTTCAGTGCAGTTCTGTTTTACAAAACTCTGAGCCTTATGTCAGTGTCACAGATTTCAAGAACATGTGTGTGACAGCTGAGCCTAAAATGTTACAGTGTTCAAACATGAACTGCTGTTTCCTCACTTTTTTCTTTGCTTTTGAGTCTTGCTATGTGCAGCCAGATGCATTATTTTTGAGTATATTATTGAATATATGTAATTTTGAATTCATAATTGAATATCTAAGCAGATGGGGACAATCTTTTTAGCATGACCTGTTATGATGGGACAAGGGATGATGATTTTAAACTAAGAGAGGGGAGATTTTAGATTAGATACAAGGAAGAAATTTTTTACATCTGAGTCTTGCTATGTGCAGCCAGATGCATTATTTTTGAGTATATTATTGAATATATGTAATTTTGAATTCATAATTGAATATCTAAGCAGATGGGGACAATCTTTTTAGCATGACCTGTTATGATGGGACAAGGGATGATGATTTTAAACTAAGAGAGGGGAGATTTTAGATTAGATACAAGGAAGAAATTTTTTACAATGTGGGTGTTGAGCCCCTGGCCCAGGCTGCCCAGAGAGGTGGTCGCTGCCCCATCCCTGGCACCATCCCAGGGGAGGCTGGGGGAGCTCTGAGCAACCTGCTCAGAGACTAGATGACCTTGAAAGGTCCCTTCCCACCCAAAAGATTCTATGAACATGCATATCACAATGTTGTGTGATTTCTAGTCTTTAAAGTGGTGATGACAATATCTTTTTTCTCAGATATTGTGAGTAAATATTAGGGAAACTTAGTGAGATACTTGCTGTATTTACCCAAACCAGATCTGAGATTTTATGAATAAATGTTGGGAAACTTAGTGAAATACTTGCTGTATTTACCCAAACCAGATTGGTTTGGTAGCTAATTGAAAAGGATGTTAATGCAGATATACTTCTGGCTTTGAAAATTGTATCTAGGACATCGAGTCCTTGATGTCTGAGGGCAACAAATCTCGGACAGTGGCTGCAACCAACATGAACGAGGAGAGCAGTCGCTCCCACGCCGTCTTCAAGATCATCCTCACCCACACACTCTATGATGCACAGTCTGGGGTGAGTACAACAAGTTATGAGACCCAAATGTCAAGCCTGGCTGTGTGTCTCCCTTTAATGTGTTTCATAGACACGTAGAAACGTTGGTTGGAAGGGATTTTGGGAGGTCTCCTGCCCTCTGTGCACTGCTGGCACTGGGTCAGGTTAGCTCATGGCTTTGTCTGGCTGAGTCCTTGTAATGCTCATGTGCTTGTGCCCCAGTGCAGGGAAATCCATTTTAATAGGGTTGTAATTGGAAATGTGGATTTTTTTTTGAAATGGAAAGCAACACTGCAGGCCCAAAGTTGAGCAGACTTGCTTGAGGGTGCAGGAAGGAACTCTTAATCCTAGAATCTAAACTAAAGAAACTTTTCTTTTGTGTGTGGTACAGACTTGGAGCAGAAACTAAAGGTACAAAGTGTAGATGAAAAATAGAAGAACACCTGAGCATACATCTGGTAATCTCCTTCAAGGGGGTATTTCATGCAAATATGTATAAACAGTCAGCTTTGTAAACAGAAACACTCCTTTCAAACATTTTGCATTGGATGACATGAATATTTTAATTTATATATATTCAATATCTAAAGGCCATTTAAATGTGAAAGTGTTTTTCTTTTCCTTATATGTAAATATGCCTTGCAGGGGGTTGTGACAGACATTTATGTTAACATTATTTAATCCCTCATAGAAAATGGTGATAAACTAAAATTGAAATAGATCTCACATACCAAAACTCTTTAAACTATGTTGATAGATTGTGTGCTTGGGTAATTCTTCAATGTCTTTAAAGGCTTGGAGAAACTTTGAGTGCCCATGAAGCAAATCTAATGTGTGTATGTGCCTAAATATTGAATGAAATGTAAAGCATAATGAGTATTTTGGCTTTTTTCCTCCTTGTTTCTCAGTCTCCATCAAGGCTTTTCCTTTCTAAACAATTTTCCTTGTTCTTCATTTAGATTTTTATCCCTTTGTACTTAATTCAGCAGCCATACCAGCTAAACTCCTTGATTTCCCCCAGTTGGTTATTCTGGTTTTGCTCTGGCTGCACTGCATACTCACCATACATACTTTTTGTGTGGTCATGGCCAGCCTGGATGCAAGGTGGTAGTTCTGATTTGTCTGTCTTTTCTGCATCTTCCAATGACCACTGTGTGAGTTTCTGGAACAGGTTTCTCTGTTTTCCCATCTCCTGGTCCTTTCAGTCCTGGAAACAACATATTTCAGTGTGACCTGATGATCATACTATACTTTGAGTGGCCTAGAGTAACATATTTGAAAGCATATTGATCCTAATTATCCTGTTCAATTAGTGGAACGTTGCACTTTGCAGCTGTGATACAGAGAGGCTGAAGTCATAGGTGCTGCAGAAAAGCATGATGTAAGCAAACTCTTCCTGCAGACAGCACAAGCTCTTCAAATTGAACTTGGCATATGAAATTCATGGAGTGTTTCTGAATGTCACTTTGAGTTAAATGCAATAAAAGGATTTATAGCAAAGTCTGTGTTACAGGATTGAAACACTCACATAGCTTGGGTTGGTTTCTAGGAAGCTGTTACAATAAAGGAGGCTTTGTAATTGTAACAATTATCATAAATTACAACGTGCTTCTTATCATGGTTATTCTCACTTTCCCAAGATTTTTAGGAGACTGTTTTCAAGGTGATAGATCAACAGCAAAGCTTGTAGACCTTCTGTCTGTCTCTGTGCCTCCTTGGCCTGGGCTCCCTCTGCATTTTTCTTGCTTGAACATTTTACATGTACCCTGTGTTCCCCTCCTCCAGAGATTTCTGAGCTGTCTTGAGGATACTAGTGTATCTAAACTTCTGTTGGTGTGTCTGACCACTTCAAATCCTCCTCTTGTTTCTGGAGCAGCAGCTAGCGAGTTATCAGAGACTGTTGTTCAAATCCAAGGACTTTCAGAGCTTTTGGAACAGCTGTAGAGAGTCTACACCAAGGAATGAAGCTCAATTCTTGTTTGAAAATATGTCAAACCATGTAACTCAGTTTGAGTGAACTAACAGTAGGTGTTCTCTGTTTCCTTCTGCAGACATCAGGGGAGAAGGTGGGCAAGCTGAGCCTGGTGGACTTGGCAGGCAGTGAAAGGGCAACTAAGACTGGTGCTGCAGGAGACAGGCTGAAGGAAGGAAGCAACATTAACAAGTAAGACTCTGCAATTGTTTCTTTTCCTTTTTTCATCATTACAGTCATGACTGCTAAATACGGAGTTCTTGCAGAATGGGATGAAGTCAATACAAGCTCTTGTAGCCAGTTTTCTTCCTCCCTTCTCTCTGCTTCTCTTTCTGACATGCACTACTCTTAGATGTTTGAATGAGATCTCTGCCTACTTAAAATGATTGGCATTTTCCATTCAGAACTTGTGTTCCTGCAACTCTTCACACAATTGTGTTGTGAAGACATCATTACTAAGGCTGAAAAAAAAATACTAAACCAAGGTGTAGACTTCAGTGAGAGAAGAATGATGAAAACTGTGCCCCAGAACTCATTTTTGGAGAGGAAGTGACTGTCTAAATATGCATTTGACTCATGGATATTTACACTTGTTAATGACTGCTGGTTTTCTCTGTGCAGATCCCTCACAACTCTTGGGCTGGTTATTTCTGCCCTGGCAGATCAGGCTGCTGGCAAGAACAAGAACAAATTCGTTCCATATCGTGATTCTGTGCTCACTTGGTTACTTAAGGTAAGTACTCTGATCTTGTTGGGGTTTTTTTAAAGAGGAAAGGGGAGAGAGAGGGGAGAAGACTCTCATTCAGTGAAATAAAACCACTGGTCATTCACCTCATTTTGTGGTTTTGATGTTAACCATAATTGTCTTTGGAAAATTAGCTGGATGTAAACCTTTAGTAGCTCTACAGACTAAGTATGTTCCCTGTCTTCTGCTGATGTGTGATGGACTAAAGAATAAGGAACTCTAAAAAAAAACCCCAAAGCATTATCTTCTATGGATCCATTTCTGTACAGCTTCACACACAACCTTGAATTTGGGCTATTGCCACATGTGACTGAGTTTTACATATTGGCATAGTTATCTTTGAAGATTTTGATTAAGACTATTGCTTTTTCCTAATTGTCTAATATATTTGTTAATATACTCTACTTTTGTCAGCTAAGTATAATTGCAGAGCATTACCTCAGTTATCCTGAGGAACAGGTCAGAAGACTTTGTACACCATGTTCATGTCAAAGGAGCAGTTAAATTACTGCCTAGGACTACATTTGGTGTTATTTTTTGGGAAAAAAAAAGAGTGTGTCATGATGACACTTGGATGAAGATCTGTAGGGTCTAGATGAAAAAAACAGTTGTGAAATACGAGTTTTATGTATGTTGAATTAAAAGGCAAGCTTTTGGTTTTGTTCCTCTTCCTTCTTCCTAGATACAGTGGTTGTAAAGTGTGGTGATGACAAAAAATCTTGGGAGTGCAAATTTGAGGTTAGGTACAGTCATCATCTGGATTTCTGCCATTCTCTGAAAGGGTGGCAAGCACAGATGTAGCCACATCTCTAAAAAGCTTGCCAGCCAGCAGAGGTGGCTTGTCCTTCTTCTACCTGTCTTGCCTGTTACAGCTTGAGTGGCTGACATGGATTTTGAAGAATTATTGAATTAAGCATCATATGTGGATGATTTCAGTTTAATTTTTGTAAGCTGCCATTTTGTTAAAATTCTTCCCTCATCAATTGATTGCCAGGATGTTTTGTAACCATGTCTCACAGAAGTGCTAACTTACCAAGTTTCTTTTTTTTCCCTGTGCTCTGTTTTATTGTTATCAAGGAGCAACTGAGATACTTGTTAGTAGAAAGATATAATCTGGGAAGATATCTTGATTTTTTGCATCACCAGCTTGGATTTGGGCTTCTTACTTTTGTAGGTGCTCTGGCTGGATTTTTTTGTCTTGAATACTCTGCTTTGCTTCCCCACCCATGAACCTTCAGCATGACAACTGTGAAATGATTTCTCTCTCCTCTCTGGTGTAGGCATCACAGATACTGGACATAGACTCATTGAAGCATTAAGGTTGGAAAAGATGTCCAAGATCATCAAGTCCAACCATCAATACAACACTCCCATGGCCACTAAACCATGTCCCCAAGTGCCATGTCTACATATTTTTGAACCCCTCCAGCACCTCCCTGGGCAGCCTGGGTCCATGCCTCACCACTCTGCCAGGAGAGAAATTCTTCCTAATATTCAATCAAAACCTCTTGTGGCACAACTTGAGCCCATTTCCTCTCATCCTAATAAATCAATATCAAATAGACCAGTCAAGAGTGCTACACAAAAATCATAATGGCTGAACAGAAATAGTGTCTGTGCTTTTCTACAGCAAAATAAATCCTCCTTTCACAGCATTCCTTGCCCTGAGACTTTCTTAGTGTTAAATATGTTTTTGCCTCTGTCTATTAACACTGAGTTTTTTAATTAAACAAGAGCTTTCTGGCTCTCTATAAAGATGGGAACAAACCCAGGAGGGTTTGCTCTGGTGGCATGTGTGCTTGGGTTCCTGATGGGGCTGCAGCAGTCTGAGGGAGAGGAGTGGGAAGTTTCCTAATGAATTTCTGGTGGTGCTGTCAGAATTTGTTATGCTGTCCCACTTCTAAACAAACCCAGTGAGCAGCCTCAAATTCCTGTTTAGCACCTGTCTGCTGCATTGTGCCTGCCCTGCCCATGGCCATACACAGCACATGCTTTAGCTCATAAATAGAGGCCTGCTTTTGTTCTGCTTTCTTTCAAGCAAACCTTCTTTGTGTCTTTAACATCCAGCTATGTTAAGTGCAAACAAAAGCTTTGGGTCTTTTTGGTTTTTTTTACAAACAAGCTCATTGAAGAGAGGCTTTATTTTGAACAGGGAAAATTTAAACATTTTTTTAATTAATGATCAAAGGAGAGATTTCTTCCTTGAAAGAGGCTTGTTTGTAGAAGCCATGAGGTGGTGGGATATCTTCCTTTAGCTTTCAACTTTTAATTATGATGCTGAAGTGGAGTATATGTGTTCTAACACAAGGCATAGCTGCCATATAGGATCTCTCCACAAATCTGAGAAACCACCAGAGTTCAGGTGACCTCAAGTTCTTGGTGTTTGAGTTCTTGGAAACCAAACTTCTTGGTTTTATCAAATTGTGTTGGCACAAACATCTTATCTCCCCATTTTAATTAGAAGCCTGGCAAGTTTTACTGCTATTAAAAATTCACTTTCTGATCTCTACATTTTGTTTTCACAGTAATCTTTGGTGCTAGATAAGACTGGTCAGGTTTAGTCTTAGAAATAACTAAATAATCTTATTTATTTCCACTCTGTGTGTGTCTATCACATACAAGCCTTTCCAGGGTGATGTACAAATGCTGTCTGTTAATGAGAAGCTGGTTTACTATTTGTCTACCTTTCTTGCTTAATATTAAGGAAACCAGTGAAATCAGAATAGTGGTTTTATACATAAAACTTTATCAGACATTTTGGTATTTGAATATCTGCAGGAGGAGCTTGACCCAACTTGCAACGGGTGTTTTGTGAATTATTGTGTATCACTCTAACAGCCCCTCAGCTGCCTGTAGTTGCAATTCAAATAATGAATTAATCCTGTTTTGGAGCTAATTAGTGCAGTGATTCCCAAAGTGTAAAGTGGTAAGGTTTGATTTAGAAGCAGATCTGGCTAGCAAAGCAGGGACTGCAGTTGCAGGGTGTCATTCCTAATATCTGAAAGCTGCTGATAGATTGAAGTGAAGTCCTGGCTTCTGTAGGGTCAGAAATTCCACCAAATGAGTCATGTGCTCATGTTAGCAACATTTCTGTGTTATAAAGTGGATCCTCCCAAACCATGTACTTACTGGAGTAAACACTGGCCACTCCTCAGAGGGGAAAACCCCACACTGAAACAGTTGTGAGACTGTTCTTTTCAGCTGACTTCTCTATAGATACTCTCACCTGCCAGCACTAACCTGGCTGGTGTACCTCACTGTGCTGAACACTGCACAAATGAAATTAGATGTTTAAACTCTGTGATGTGGGCAGCAGGGCAGGGAGGGGATCCTGCCCCTCTGCCAGCTCTGGGAGACCCCCCTGCAGTGCTGGGGCAGCTCTGGAGTCCTCAGCACAGCAGAGCCAGGGACCTGCTGGAGCGGGGCCAGAGGAGCCCCAGCAATGCCCCGAGGGGGGAACCCCTCTGCTGGGAGCCCAGCAGGAGAGAGTTGGGCTGGGGCAGCCCCAGAGGAGAAGGCTCCAGCTGGGGAGACCTGCTGGGGGCTGCCAGGACTGCCAGGGGCCTGGAAGGAAGGTGGGGGGGGACTTTTTAGCAGGAGGGACTTGTTGCAGTGAGACAAGGGGTGATAGTTTGAAACTCAAAGAGGGAGACTTGGACTAGTGTAAGTGTTCTGAAATCACTGAGGGTGGTGAGCCCTTGGCCCAGGTTGCCCAGAGAGGTGATAGAAGCTCCATCCCTGGAACCATTCCAGGTCAGGTTGGAGGGGGCTCTGAGCAACCTGCTCTAGCTGAAGATGTGGGTTGGACTAGATGACCTTTAAAGGTCCCTTCCAATCCAAGCCATTCCATGATTCTATATTGTCTTCCTAAAGAGCTACCAGCCTATTTTCCATGCCCAGAGACAGGAGAGTGCTACCAGTGCAGCACTGAAGCACCCTCAGTCACTGTGGCCCATCCTTGTCTGACCACTGAAGCAGCCAGACTGCTGTCAAACTGTTTTAGGCATCATGCAGCAAAAAATAGTCTTAAGGAAATACTTAAAGGGGCATTTTAATGATTGCTAGGGAAAGCTTTGTAATTGAAATGGTTGGACAAGCAGCTAATGTAGTCAGATTGTTCTAATGGCAGTGCCTGACCTAGATTTTGAGAGATATTGAGGACTAAAGTTAATAGCATGGTTTGTCTTAGAGATATTGGGTAAAAATGCAAACCAAAAAAATATTAAATAAATAAATAACAAAATCAACAAAAAAAACCCCAACCAAACAACCAAAAAATATTTCCTGCAAAATTTAAATCAGATTATTTTATCTTTTAGACCGGCCAAAACTGGAAACCACATTTTTGTGATCAATAAAAAGACTGAATGCTTCCTGCCTGCCTCTCCCCCACTCCCCTGACATGCTGCCTTGCAGGAATGTGGTTTCACACCCTTCTTCTGTCAACCAGATTCCAAAAGGCTAATTTCTTACATGACTCAGTTTAGATTTCTAAGCTATGTAAGTGTGGGGGGAAGGGCCCCATTCTGAAATGTTTAAAAGAATAAAATTGGCTGTATTGTTCTTGAGGAGATCTTTAATTTAAATTAAGTACTTACTGGAGACTTCTCGCTTCCAGTCTTTGAAACAAGATAATCTGAACTCATCATGCTCTTTTGTGAGCTCCTTCAATAGTATCTGAGAAGTGTAATGCTGAAGTGCTTATATTTGTGGAAAACATAAAAGTAAAGCTTGGAAGCCCTTACTAGCACCATAAAGCCAAAAAAAAAAGGACTGTTTTCCTTCCTGTTTAAGCTAAAACTGATTCTGAAAGCCAAGAATGACATTTCCTAAATGTGCTTAAAAAAAAAAATTAAAAAACAAACTAAAAATAACAACTTTCCTTGATTTACACAGCTGAAAATATTAGTTTTGAACTGAGGAGCTCTGACAAAACTGTTTATTTTACTCGTTGTCCCCATCTACTCCCAACTCTAGGTTATTATTCACTGTCTAAGTTCACTGACTGGGTAAAACTCACGAAATCTCCGGTTTTAACTTTACAACCTCTCCCACTTTGCAGGACAGCCTTGGTGGAAACAGCAAGACTGCCATGGTAGCAACAGTGAGTCCAGCTGCAGACAACTATGACGAGACCCTGTCAACACTGAGGTATGCAGACAGGGCCAAGAACATTGTGAACCACGCCGTGGTGAACGAAGACCCCAACGCCCGCATCATCCGGGAGCTCCGCGAGGAGGTGGAGAAGCTGAGAGAGCAGCTCACGAAAGCAGAGGTACACGTGGCACTCCTGACTAGCCAGGCAGTCTTACAAACCCCTTTGTCAGAGCTTCCTTACCTGTCTCTCCAGAGTGAGCACCACAAAGAATGGCTGCGTGGTTATCTGTGAGAAATCTCTCTTTATATCACTTCTTTACATTTTTCTTTATAGCAGTCTTGAAACGCAGGTGACAACAGGAGATACCAGCTTCTCTTTGAACACACTTATACACACCAAACTTTTACACACCAAGGCAAGAGGACACAGAGGCAGAGTAGGGGTGGAGTCAAGATTGTGTGGTTTATAGGCAGAGGTTTGCTGGTGTAGTTTAAGAATTCAGTGTGGCTACATCCTGCGAGGTGTGAATTCAGTTAAATAATGCTTACAGGCTTTAACTGTTCTCAGCTGAACCTCTCCCAGGCAGTGGACAATGTTATGAATGTCTGCATGGCTACCTCAGTGAAATTGTGCAAAGAGCATGGTCTCAGTGAGAGGTGAAGGCCAAGAACCTGCAGAATTCTGAGTTCTGTTCTCAAATGTGGCCAAGCAGTGGTGATATAATCCATCTGTTTTGCAGCTCAGAAACATGATTACAGTACAGAGGGAATGCTGGCTGTGATAGTAGAAATGACTGGTGAATTTTGGACTGTTCTCATTTGAGCCACCTAATATGATAGGCATCCAATAAGTGGCTGTCAGTTTCTTTAAGCTATCTGAAGTTAAATATCTAAAAAATCCTCCAAAATATGAACTACAAACTTAACAGTACTCCTGAAAGTACTCCCTATTTGTTTCATTTGTGAGCATTAATGCCAAAATAATGACAGCTTTCTGAAGTAATGAAGTAGTGCTTCCTAAATGTGAAGTAATAAATATTTCCAAATATTACAGTCCCACCCTAGTTGTCATCTCAGTGGCATTAACAAAAAGCAGAGAAAAAAAATGGTGTAGTTTGCTCTTAAGAGGCTACACAGTAAAGGTCAAACCCCACATTCATTGTCTTGTACTCCTTTCAGTTTATTAAATTTCTAGTCCATCTAATTGTTCTTACAGCAATGTGCATACATAACTTTTTTGGAGTGAACAGAAACATTGACCCTTTATGACAGGGAGGTTATATTTTCAAAGCTCATTTCCAAATGTAGAGGTTACCAAGTTGTGGGTTTGGTTTTTTTTTTCCTTCTGGTGTCAGTCTCCTTTTCTCTCCTGGACAGCCAAATCAGAACAGAACTTGACAGCTGATTTTTTTTTCTCCCCCAGAAGAATAAGGCATTATCTTTTTTTCCCCTTTTCTTTTCTACACACATTTTGATCTTTTCTTGTTGACAGGGGGCAGGTTTCTTGGAGGTTGGACTAGATGACCTTTTAAAGGTCTCTTCCAACCCAAACCATTCTATGAAATTTTGCTTCAGGTCTAAATAAGTAGGAAAACAAGACTTAGACCTTGAGAGTAACTGGGCTTCATCTTCATGTCCTGCTCTGTAGTGTCCAACACCTTTGCATGGACTGGGTTTTATTGGTCATGAAAAATCTTTGTTCTGGAGATGGCCTTGGCCTCACTTTCCTTCCTGGATGGAATTCATGTTCCCTTTTACCCTGCATTTAGGTGTTTGAGATATTCAACAAGGAAAAGACTACACAGGACACATCAGCTGAAAGTTCCTAGACTGTTGTGTTTTGAGGCAGAGGAAATTCCTGTCTTAAAACAGGATTTTCCACTTCTGACACTTGCTCCTTTTCTTGAACAAACTGTAGTGTAATGAGGCCACTCCGATTTGGATTCCTGTGAGGACTTTTGGGTTTTGTGGTAAGGAAATATCTGATGGAGAGAGATGTTTGCATTGTTTAATTTGCCTTGCATAAATACCTACCTACCAGCCAAAACCATTTTCATCTTGTTAGCAGCAATAAACTCACAACGTGAAGAAGTCCCCAGGCTTCCTGTTCAGAGGAGGAATATTCCAGTACAGAGACTGGAGGAAGTGAATATGTGTAGTACAAAAATGTTGATGTCATTTCCATTTTTGGAGTGCCTGATGGGTGACAGTTGGGGGCATCTTATTCTCAAGTCAATCCTTGGATAGAACATGAGCCTTTGACGATTACACAAAACAAAATTAGAGCTGTGATGGATTTGATATCCACTCTGTATGTAGAGGTGGACAACCAGAACACCTCAGATGCCTCAGTAGTTGCTATAGAAAGAAAAAAAACCCACCCATCAGGCCATATCAAGTGAATAATAAAACTATTTTGGTGGCATGGCAGTTTAAAGTAACAGGGATGGGAATGACAGCTGAGATGATGGTGGCCAGATCAGCAGTATCTTGAGAAATGAGATTGGTTTAGATATGAGTCATTTGGGATACTTGTATTGGTATAGAAATGAGGTTAGTTTGCTTTTGAGTATCTTTGTGCAAATCTGCCAGCATCATGTAATTGGTGTGCACTGAAGTACATAAACTCCACTTTAGCATCTGTACTTGAAACTAATTAAATGAACTTTTGGATGGATTCCTCATTTATATGCAATACATATTTTAAAACCCCCTTTACTTACTGGTAAGGATGCCTTGGAAAATGAATAAAGTTATATTTCTTCTTGTCCCCATCTGTGTGACAGCGAAAAAAAAAGAACCAAAGCACAACAAGCTTTCTTGTTTTATTTCCTTTTATTTCTGCAGGCAATGAAATCACCAGAATTAAAAGAACGATTGGAGGAATCAGAAAAGTTGATTCAGGAAATGACTGTGACCTGGGAAGAAAAATTAAGAAAAACTGAAGAAATAGCACAGGTTTGCTGCTTTCTTCCCCTTTTCTCCCCCCTCTTCCCCCCCTAATTTTTATGAAAATTAGGTTTGTTTTGTTTGTCTGCCAGCTCACAGAGATTGTCTGTATCTCTCCCCACATTTATGGGTAAGTAGGTCAAGCTCTCTGCCCTTTTGAAAAGCTGCACTTAATTCCTGTGATAGCTGGGTGCCTCCCAGATTACTATTCCAATGACAATAATAAATTATCACTGTATGCAAATGGAGAAGTTATTTAAAAAAATAATAACCCACAGATGAGAGGATTACAGGGATTTGATACTCTGCAGACAGGAAAACTGTTGTTTGTGGTGAAAGACGGAGTGTCAGGAACGTTGAACACAAGGTGATGTACAGAGTGCCTCAATCCACAAGGCAAAGGGCATTCAGAGTATTAAAAAACAGAGCTGTTCAGGATCCCTGGGTGTTTTGATACCTCCTACACTGATATTTAGGGCCTCAGACCACAATTGGATATGATGGCTGCGTTGAAAAACTGTGCAGGTTGCCACGATTATCGCATGACACTTCCAATTCTTGCCACACAAATGCTGATGTATATATTTGCAGGAGGGAGCTTTTGAGGAGGAGGGCTATTGAAAGGTGATGAATAGCAGGTAATAAATAAGGAGAGAACGGAGCCTCTGATGCAAAGCCCTCTTGTAGATGATACAATCAGAATAGACTGTGTTGACTTGAGTTTTAAAGATCCATTGTCAGAAATGCCACTTGTGACTACGAGAGCTTCCTGGCTCTCAATGCAAACTCCTACCATGGATTTTCCTCCCTGTGTGTAAGGGTGAAGAAGAAGAGGAATGATAATAAATTTCTGCTGTCATCCTGCACAATAGTTTCTTGGCATAGAAACAGAGTGTGCGAGGAGGTTGAAAAACTGAAGTAACGGACTCAACGCTCCAGACTAAATCTGCCTTGATGTTTGTGTACAGCTCCTTGCTTTAGCTCTTTTCTTCTTTGCCTCTAAATTCTCAGCATGTTACAGTGTTTTGGAGCTGGGATTTTCATGAGCCTTGCAGCTGTAGAAAAAGTGATTTTTTTCAGGGGAGGGATAAGAACTAGGGTTTGTGCAGTATAAGGCTGTTTCAGGACCACTTGGAAGCCAGTGGAAAGAAACTTCTGCCATCTTCAGTAGGATTACAGAAGCCCAAGGGTAAAGGCATTTATTTCAAGGCTTGTCAAGTAATTTTATTTTTGGCCAGCATCCACCAATATCTGTCTGTCAAATGCTAGCAGGGTAGGTGGGGAGGATGGAGCAATAATTGTAAATCTTTGAGGAAAGGAAGGTGAGGGTTGTCAAAGTGGCACTTTGTAGAGGCACAGCAGCAATAAGGGTTGAAAGCTTGAAAGACTGTATGAATAGGCAATTTTTCACATTTTCAGGGAGTATTTCACATACTTTTAATGTATTTTAAATGTTAATTAACATTAAGTGTAGAACAAAACTTAACAGATATTGGCTCATTTTCTTTAAGTTAATCCTGTGAGATTTAGACTGTGGGCCAAGTCCTCCAGTGGGCAACATATTCTTTATCTCTGTAGGTAATAAGGAATTCTGTGAAGTTCAGAGCCTGGCATTGATGCTCAGAAGAGAGATCTTTGACATCACACTGCAGTTTTTTCTCTGTTCTCTGTTGCTGGTTTTCTTCTCTTTCTCTTCTACTCATGACTTTTCCTTATTATGGTTCTGTGAGAGTGTGAGGAGACAGGATAGAGAAAATCAAGATTGAGCTGTGGTTGCTGTTCTTTGCCATTTTAATCTTAATTAGACCTGGTACAACTCCAGTCCTGAACAGAGAATAGTAGTGAATAGTGTGACATACTGAGCTGTTAAGTACAAAGCAAACTGGTGGGTAAAGGCCAGAACCTTAATAAACAGTCCAGCACTATTCCTACATAATCTCAGCTAATTTTGGGTTTTGAAGTCTCAGCATCACAGGAGAGATGCTGTAGGTCTTTTGTACTGTTTTTACTTACTTGTTTTACCCTCCCCTGTTTCTGCTTTCCCCATGTAATTCATTGTGAAGGCTCCCATGTTTATTTATTTGAATTCTGTTTGCTGCTGTGGACAGTGAGTCTCATTTCAGTTTCTGGATGATCCTGGGAACAATCCTCACCATTTCTAGCTCAGCGGTTTTTGTAGAAGAATCCCTTTCTGTTCTTAAGTCAGAAATGTTTAATGTTCCTCTTTCACTGCTCTAGTCTTCACCCAAACACTTCCCTTTGAAAGATGTACATTTTTGCACAGTAATGCTTTGTTGTTGAATTCTATGAAGTCTATTGACAAGAACAAAACACCATCCAAAATGCTCCTATTCTTCTTCAATTTGCATTACTTAAATAGCAGGTTGCCAGTTTTTTGTCATTTTGATTGCTGTGGAATAAAAGATAGACATGGAACTTGACTTGGCAGGGATTTAACTTAACTTGTTGCCTTTTAGCTGAAAAGAGAAAAGAAAGGGCTCTAGAGATGGCTTTGTGGTAGCGTTTTGCTGTTCCAGTGAGGTCATGGAGAAGCTCCTCCAGTACCACAGTGTGCTGCTCTCAGCTGTCTTCACTGTTCACTGGGAAGATGCAACTGTGTGAGCCCACAGCACGTAGCCCTCTGAGAGCAGAGGTGGAAGGAGAAGAGAAATGACAGATACCCTGACCAAAACTCAATATAACTAAGGCTTCTGTGTCTAATCTGTTGCAGAAGAAAGAGTTACCTTCTTTTGTGGCTTTAGGAATGCATTTCCAAAGGGCTGTGCATCCAGCAGCTTAATTTTTTTTTGATGGCTCATCTCTTGCAGGAGCGTCAGAAACAGTTGGAGAGTCTTGGCATATCCCTTCAATCTTCTGGAATAAAAGTTGGGGATAACAAGTGCTTCCTGGTTAATTTGAATGCAGATCCAGCTCTCAATGAACTTCTGGTATACTATTTAAAGGTAAAAATAAATATTAAGAGAGATATATATATAATTTGTTTTAGGTGGGAAGTGAATCTCTAATGCCATTGCAGATGTGTACTTAGAGAGTTTTATAAAAGCTGCATCTCTAAAGCATTCTCCAGTATTCACTGCTTTGGTAAAAATAATGCAAGTACATCCTTTTTATTTCAAATTTAATTCTTCATAGCAGAGGAAGGTTGGGGGATTTTATGCTTGTGGGGTTTTTTTTAAAGAAATTTAAAGGTATTCTCTTTTAGAAACTGTCTCTTGGTTTTGGATTTATTTTTTTTTTTTGGTGGGATTGGTTTAGGTTTTTTTATGCCAACTTTCAAAAGGTTTTACCCAGAAAATTGTTTTATATAAATATAAAGATTGGGCCTGTCAGCAATCAGCTTGCTTCTACATGTGTAGTCCAAATCCTGACTCCTGTCTTCAGTTTATAAACTGCATTTTTATGCATTTTTTCATTTTTATTGTAACTTGCTAGGAATGAAAATCAAGTTCTGTTCTGCCTTAGCACTCCTGCTGCTGTGCTGCCCCTGTTGGTTTTAAACATATAACACAGGGTGTGACTTTGGGGCTCTGTGCTGAAATTTTTGGGCCGTTTATTCCAGTTTAACAGACTATAGATGTAGAGTCAGGAGGAGAAATGAGACACAACCACTTTTATGTCACATTTTAGAGTACAAGTTCTAAATATTTAGCAGTAAAAGTAGGTCAGCAGTTTGAGCTTCAGATTAAATCATCCTCTTCTTTTTGAAGTGGTTGGGAGGAACTCTCCAAAGAGCCACAAAATTAGCAATTGGGCTGAAAATTGGTTTTGGTTTAGTTGGTTTTAGGAAATATATGATCCTCTTTGATACCAGTCATTGCTGCTCTGTGATATCTCAATGAAAACAAGGGAAAGAACTTTTTCAATGTTGTATTTGCTAAAAAACATTAAAAAGGACAGAAGAGCTGAGCTGAGGTTTTGGGAGAAGAACTGAATCATTTCCAGCTGCCTTGCACGTAGGTGTCCAGAGTGGGACTCCAGCTGCTAAACCAGCCTTGGCACTGGCAGCTGTTGAAGCAGAGCTGACTTCTGTGGTGTTCTCTGAACACATGAAGGAGAACACTGAAGCCAAAGCCTGCTCAGAAAACAGGTCTTGGCCCATCAGTACCAGCAGAAAACTCTCAGCTGATGCTGTGCTGCTTTCCTTTTCTAGAGAAAAGCCCTTTGCATGGGGTAGGTTTTGTGTGTTTCAGTTAGTCTTTAATTATTAATTTGTTTTTAATAACACAAATTTGGTTTGTTGGTTGAGAATTTTCATAGAATCACAGAATGGTTTGGGTGGGAAAGGACCTTTCAAGGTCACCTAGTCCAACCCCTCTGCACTGAGCAGGGACATCTGCAGCTAGAGCAGGTTGCTCAGAGCCCCAGCCAACCTCACCTGAGGTGAATTTTGGTGTAGAAATTCTTGTGCACTGAAGGTCTTTCTATAAAAGGACTTATGCCTGTTTTGCCTAAAATCCTGGGATTAAACTCTTGCCTCTCAGAGTAACTATCCTGCCAACCTTCTCTTTAATGCTGAGCTGCATATGTACTGGATCTTCAAAGTGCTGAAGAACAACTTGATCTGACTTATCTAAATGATTGTATCTGTTCCTGAAAAACTGCTTAGAAGTGCCTAAAAAAGAACTGGATGAATTGGGGCATCTGGGGAGTGACCCTTTGTCTGTCAAATCCCTCATGCCTGGAGTACCTCAGGAATTTCCTAAGCTGCTGGATGATCTAGACAGAACCTGTGTAACAGCCCCAGCTCTAACCACTGTGAACCTGTCTTAATTCCTCTTTGAACTCCTTTATGCTTTTGGCTTTTACAATATCCCAAGGCACTGAATCCCACAATTAAATTATAGGAACCTCTTCATCTTTGGGTTTAACTGTTGCCTGCAAACTTTCCTGAGTGATCCTTATTTGTTGCTGCAAGACAAAGCAAGGATTTGGTTCCAATGTTTCATTCTCCTTTTTCCCTCTAAGGGAAGTACTCAATAGCTTTCAAATTTCAGGACTAGATGACAAGATACATCCAAAATGAGAATGGATGAGTTAGAACTAGTGAACTTTTGCAATCCATTGCTAACATCTGAATTAATTTCCCCCAGGAGCACACGTTAATAGGGTCAGACAACTCTCAAGACATTCAGCTGTGTGGAATGGGAATTCTTCCTGAACACTGCATTATAGACATCACCCCAGAAGGACAGGTTATGTTAACACCTCAGAAAAATACCAGGTAAAGGAATAAAATACAGGTCCAGTTGTATAATGGTTGTAGCTTTATTTAGTGTTTTATTATGAGTGGTGCAAGATAATCAAAAAATAAACTTTTCTATGTATTGAAGTATGAAAATTATTCCTGTATCCTGCTTTTCCTTTTTTGTTTAATTGTCATCTGCCCCTCTGCCATCTCCTATCTTTCATTCTAATGAGATTTCTCTCAGGGATGGTTTTTGTGGTCTAAGTTTTCAAAGAAAGGATGAGTACATTATGTATGCTTTCAGCAAGTAGATCCTCACTGATTTGCAGCTGCATAGTTGTAACTCTATCAAAATTTGAATTAATTTTCTAGGAAATCTGTTGATATGCAAAGAGCTGCTGAGGCATTTGTTGCTTTATTTGATTAAGTAGCAGTACTTGAAAAGCAGATGGTACATTCAAACTGATCACAAAATGACATGCATAGTCAGCATCTCCAATCATTTATTGCCAGAGACACAAAATCCAACTGTATCACATCTACCCTGATTCATAGCTGGTGGTGCTTAGAGCAGGAGGTTGGACTGGATGCCATCCTGAGATTCCCTGCAAATTTGAGTTATCCTATGATCCTATTTCCAGACTTAATCTGACTCTGAAATAAAAGTAGTTTCTGATTGCTCTAATTAGTTTATTGTCTTTAAGCTATTTATATAGCAAAGGTCTCTGATGCCTTATTCAAATGTTTCTATCTTGTGTCTGTATTTGGAAGTAGTGTGAAAGGTGTTTATCTCCAGTGACATCATCTTTGTTTTTTCAAGCCCTTCATTTTAAGCTCTAATTATATTCCCCAGACACAGTTGTCATATCTTTCCAAAAGTACTGACCTCTGGAAGCTTAAGCCATCAAAAGAAGCTGAGTTTGAGGAGTTTATGAAACAGCACAGGGTAGATCAATGGAGTTTCTGGGGATATTTTGCCCATTTACAATCCCTAAACCTGTTCTCCTACCTTAACTCGTTATGATAAAGTAGTACTGGGAATAAAAAAGAAAAAAAAAAAGATTTATTGATGCTTAATTGATTAAATGAGATGCATTTACATTAGATTTTTGCCTTTTTACAGGACATTTGTAAATGGCTCTGCTGTCGTGTGTCCTATCCAGCTACATCACGGAGACAGAATACTGTGGGGAAACAACCACTTTTTCAGGTACAAAAAACAACAAAGAAACTGTAAGTTTGCACCAGCTTTGATCCTAAAGTATAAGCAAAGATGTCAGTGGAGCATTCACACTGCAGGAGGAAGTGATTTCTTTGTCATTGGGATTATAAAAGCAGTGCTGATGACTGACACTTCTTGAATGGTGAATGTTATAGCAACTGTGTGTGATTTTAGTTTCAGAGCACTAGGCTGACTTAACTTCCTGTATTTCTAAAGGACTGTAATCTTGCTGGTGAGGACCTAGCTGTAGTTATCAGTACTGTTATCTCACTGAAGAGATTGCAGTTCTGAGCTGGTAACTTTGATGTGGTTCAGTGCCACTGATTAATGCTTTCTCCTCCACAGTGAACGTATTACACTCAAGCTTTGCCTTGGATAGGTTGCTTTGGGGATTTTGCAGATAAGATGTTAGATTTTTGATCTATATTAGTGATCTGGGTCTTCCAAGGTCACTGTGTTCTTGGAGTTCCAGGTCCAGCCATACCTGCAACCTTTCTGTATCAGACAGGTTCACTGGTAGAAGTTTTCTCTGAAGCACTGTGTTCTTGAAACCTCTGTGACTGTTCTGAAATATCTTAAAGATCAGTGGATTTAAATGCTAATCTAAAACTTAATTGTTTTCTTTTATGCTTGAAAGATGAATCTGCATAAAAAGTGGGATGCAATTTCATTATTGCCTCTAAATTACTTAGATATGGGAGGACTGAAAAAAAACCAGTCTATCTAAACTATATGATTAGTAATTTCAGGTGCTGTTATTAGAATGTAGGATGGATTAGTTAGTTTGCTTTGAACTCCCCTGTTTACCCTGAGGAAAACTACGCTCACAGGAGATCAACCAGTTTTGAAAGGGAAAAATCTACTGATTTGGATAATTACATGATTTTAATAATCTCTGAAAGCAACCTTTTATTTCAGAATTGAGCAGTTAATAGTTCTTTTAAAATTTTCCTCTTATTTAAAGGCTGAATTTGCCAAAGAAGAAAAAGAAGGCAGAGCATGAGGATGAAGAGCGAGACAACTCCATGAAGTGCAGTAACAGTGTTGAGCAGCTGGACATAGATGGAGACAATTCCAGTGAAGTGTCTAGTGAGATAAACTTCAGCTATGAATATGCCCAGATGGAAGTGACTATGAAGGCACTTGGTAGTAATGGTAAGGAGTGACAGAAGTTATTGGAAATACGTACAGAATATGAGGTTACATCTTCAGGGACTCCTAACCATAGACTTTTTCCCTTATAACTTCCTACTGGAGAATTTTTCTCGTGGATGACTTATGACGAGTCAGTTTTGCACTTGAGGGGGAAAAAATAATCACAGGCTATTTTGTTTGGCAGGACTTGTTGAGAGAAAAGCCAAAACAGGAATATTGGTGGGACTGTGGCCTCAAATCAACATGTTTTCACTTTATTTTTCTTGTGTTATGTCTCACTCAGGCATTAGCTATAGGGATTTGTGTCTCTGAAACCATGTTCTTTAGTTTTTGTGGTCTTATGAAGCTGTCCCAGAATTGCAATATTTTGGGAAACAGAAGGAAGTTTTTTTCAGCTGGGTCTTTCCCTTTTCTCAGTTCTCTTAAATCATCCATCTGATCTGTCCTGCAGATGTTTATTTTGCTCCACAGTTCAGCAGCATTTTTTTTAATATGAATTGCCACAAAAACATCATCTCTTCCTCCTTTTCTATGATGACTATGTTTACTGTCTAGGACATTCCTCACCACGGATTCCAGTGGCCACTGCAGGCCCTGATGTGGATAACTGCAGATATAAATGGGGAAGGGAAGTACCAGGGCACAATAATTTGTGTTGTGCAGCATGTCTGCAGCAGAACAGGGGGAAGATCTGACATTTCTGAGCCCCCCAGAACTGTGGGGCACGACCGTTTCCCTTCAATGTTACCGTTACCAGGTATTTCACCCCCAAAACTCAAATCCTTTCTTTCTAACGCCCGCTTAGACCCGATGCAGTCAATCCTGCAAAGCCTGGAGCAGCAGCACGAGGAGGAGAAGAGATCTGCCCTGGAAAGGCAGAGGCTGATGTACGAGCACGAGCTGGAGCAGCTGCGGCGGCGGCTGTCCCCGGAGAAGCAGCACGGCCGCAGCATGGACAGGTTCTCCTTCCACTCCCCCAGCGCCCAGCAGCGCTTGCGCCAGTGGGCAGAGGAGAGGTGAGTGGCCACCTCGGACCTTCAGGAACCTCCCTTCAAAGTTCTTCATCACTGGTGAATTTGGCAAGGTTTGAATTGCTTGGCACACCTCTGCCAAGGTCCTCTCGCCTCCTGCGGGGGGTTGGAGAGGACGCGGCAAAAATATCGGTCTGAGGACAACCAGACTTCTGGGGACAGAAAAGATAAGGAAGAACGAGTGCTTGCTTTGTTGTTAAGGGGAAACTCTACCCTGATTGGCAACAAATTTGACTAAAGATGAGGTGATTGGAAGAAATTTCAGGCCTCCTGTGTGAGTTTGTTCTTGTGTGGATCCATGACTCAGCTGCTGATAGGTTGTTTTTCCTCTTGACTTGCATCCAAATGTCTGACCTGGGCAAATCCTGGCAGCACAAAAGTGCAGAGAGAAAGCAGAGTAAGAAGATGATACAGAGAATTTTGATCCAGAGCATTGCAAAAAGTGTTTAATGACCCCAGAGGGGCCACCATCCTCTTTGCCTCTTCCTAGGCGATTGCACCCAGGTTATTACTTCAGCCTCTAAATGATCTTTTCCAGTATTATGGTTAAAAAGAGCAGCTGCAGGAGGAAGGTGAAACTTGCCCTAAAATGAGCATGGCAAAGATATTGTAATTGGGAAATATATATGGCTAGAGCAGCAACTTTTTAAATAGAAAAATACTTGTTTTGCCACAGGACAAGGGGTAAAATGAGTATGGCAAAGATATTGTAATTTGGAAAATACATATCTAATATATATGGCTAGAGCAGCAACTTTTAAAATAGAAAAATACTTGTTTTGCCACAGGACAAGGGGTGATTGAAACTAAAGGAGGGGAGATTTAAACTACATCTAAGGAAGAAATTGTTGCTGCTGAGGGTGTTGAGCCCCTGGCCCAGGCTGCCCAGAGAGGTGGTCGCTGCCCCATCCCTGGCACCATCCCAGGGGAGGTTGGCCGGGGCTCTGAGCACCCTGCTCTAGCTGCAGATGTCCCTGCTCCCTGCAGGGGGTTGGACTAGGTGACTTTGAAAGGTCCCTTCCCACCTAAACCATTCCATGATTCTAAGGTGTTAGCTGTGTTGATCTGGAATATTTTGTGGTAGCAGATTGCTGTGCTGCACAGTTGGTGCTGCCTCTCACTTGCCAGAAAGGCCAGTGAGCAAGTGAGTCATGGTGTCTGAATAAACCTTGATCTCTAGGATGGAACATCCACACCTGTGGTGAGGGAAACTCAAGAATAAGCCACACAAGAGCTGATTGTTCAGCAGATACATGAAGTCTCCAAAGCCACCAGTTTGCTAATGTTCATATTGCCCTGTTCAGCAGATACATGGAGAAGTCTCCAAAACCACCAGTTTGCTAATGTTCATATTGCCAAATTCATACAGATAATATTTGTTTCTCCCAGAAGAAATGGAATTTAATTCACCTGATTTTTATGTTAAAATCTGAACATTAAGACTCCTTCCTGTCAAGTGATCATTTAGTTTGCACTCGTTTTCAATACTTCAGTGCCATGATTTTTCCTGTTTCCTCCTCCAAATGCCTTTCCTTTAGAGAGGAGATGTTGACCCACAGCCTGCGGAAGCTGCGGGAGCAGATTGTTAAAGCCAACCTGTACGTCAGAGAGGCCAATTTTATTGGAGAGGAACTGGACAAGAGGACAGAGTATAAAGTTACCCTCCAGATCCCAGCTTCAAGCCTTAATGCCAACAGCAAGGTAAAGTAGCCATTGAATCATTAAGGTTGGAGAAGACCTCTAAGATCATCAAGTCCAGCCATCACCCAACACTCCCATCACAAGTAAACCATGTCCCCAGGTGCCGTGTCCACAGGTTTTTACAACCCCTCCAGGGCTGGGAACATTTACAACCACCTCCCTGGGCAGCCTGGGCCAATGTCTCATCACTCTGCCAGGAAAGAAATTCTTCTTAATATCCAGTTAAAACCTCCTCTGGTGCAACTTCAGCCCGTTGCCTCTCGTAACCTGGGAGAAGAGACCAACTCCCACCTGGCTCCAACCTCCTTTCAGGGAGTTGTCAAGAGCAATAAGGTCTCCCCTCAGCCTCCTCTTCTCCAGGCTAAACACCCCCAGGTCCCTCAACTGCTCCTCACAAGCCATGTTCCCCAGACCCCTCACCAGCTTCGTTGCCCTTCTCTGGACCTGCTCCCACCCCTCAATGTCCTTCTTATAGTGGTGCCCAAACCTGACCCCAGTCCTCAAGCCATGGCCTCCCCAGTGCCAAGTCCAGGGGCACGATCCCTTCCCTGCTCCTGCTGGACACACACACTACATTCTCACTGGTGTTGAAGGTCACTTGCTTCTGGTGCAGTGATAAAATCTGTGCAGGTTGGGTAACATCTATTTCAAGTATTTATCATCACCTTGGGGACAGTTGGCTTTACCTCATCCTAGCGAGCTGAGAAAATGCTGGAATCCATCCCCACTGTGCTGGGAGGAACTGGAGCAGAGAGGATTGGGATTATTTTTTTCCAAGCATCTTAGAAATTTTGGAAGGAGGGAACTGAACCCAGACTTCACAAGCTGGCCACCTACACTGGTGGTGTTTCTGTTCTTGAGGTCAGCTCAGTATTTTGGTGATACTGTTGTTAGTCCAGCAGATGTATTTTATTCCAGGATTTAAAAAATTTCTTTCATCCACTTGTTTTTCTTGCAGTCTTCTGGCACATCTAGAAACAGGATGGTAAAGAGGGTTAAGTGTCTGCACTAGCTGAAAGTTGTGGATGGTAGTAACCTTAGCTGGAACTCCAGGCCTGCTGTAACCTGAGGATAAATGTCCCTCTTTCTAACACTTATGTAAGGTGAAAATCCACGGAAAGCAGCGCCCGTGGCTGTGCCCACACTTCACAGTTAAACCTGAACACCAATATACTGTGACAGCTCAGCTCAGAGCTTGTCACGCTTGCATTTGGTTGCTCAAGCTAGAATAAAAAAAAAGAACAAAATCCAGGCTCTTCCCAAAGAACTCCTCAGTTTTGTGCTGGTTTTAAACTGTTTTTTCATTGCTGGGACACAAATTCCTTGCTGATCTCTCTTTAATTGTTTCACAGAGAGGTGCAATTCTCAGCGAGCCAGCTATTCAGGTGAGGAGGAAAGGGAAAGGCAAACAGATCTGGTCACTGGAGAAGCTGGAGAATCGACTGGTAGATATGAGAGATCTTTACCAGGAGTGGAAAGACTGTGAGGAAGACAACCCAGTAAGTAGAAATTACTCCGGTATTGTGCTGATAGAATCAAATCCCTGTTAAATGTTTTAAGTGGACGTGATGAGAAATCTAATTCAGGGGGGTAGGGCAGGAAGGAATGTGTAAAGAAATAGATTTCTGTGAGCTTTTGCTTTTCCTGGTGGATTTCATTAACCCATATCTTGTCACTTTGATGCTTGTTTGCATGCATAATTGGATGACAGAACAGAGCATGCAATAAGAAGCTGTAAGTAAACACAACAGCACTTGACATTCAGGCTGACTTCTCTGGATCTGACAGAGAAGAAGTTAAGGAGAACTTCCTGAGGACAGAGCTTAGACTTGGTCCAAAGTCAAATTCAAGTTTCCTGAAGAAATTTCCAGGAGAAATCCTTCTTGTTGTGATCTAATCTGGCCTCTTGCTTGAGTCCATTTTTCTTTCGCTAGGCTGGTTGTGCAACACTTTGAAATCTGGCTGATGAAAAGTTTGGTTTTCTGACATGATTCTGAATTTGATTGAAGGTGATGAGAGCTTACTTCAGGAGAGCTGACCCCTTCTACGATGAGCAGGAAAACCACAGCCTTATTGGAGTAGCCAACGTTTTTCTTGAGTGCCTGTTCTATGATGTGAAGCTGCAATATGCTGTTCCAATCATCAATCAGAAGGGAGAGGTTTGTCATTCTTCTATAATCTACTCAACTGTTCAATTACAGCCTATATAGATCTTGTTACCAGTATATATAGTGGTATATATTTTGGAATATATACTGGAAATACTTTCCCAGTATTTTGGGAAATATACTGGAAAGTGGATGTTTTCCAGTTTCACATGCAGAAGCTCTTTGCTATCAGTTTGGAATGGTGCAAATCCAGTACCACCTCACTGGAGTTTAGACAGCTCTAAATTCCAGCACAGTGACTGTGAAAGGAGAAAGCCTTGTGAGCACCTTTCTGAGCAAAGGAGCCCAAAATAAATATGTAATATGAGTTATAGCCCCACTGGTTTTCACTGACTACCATCAATAACAGGCTCTTAAATATTTACCATGAGAACAAAGGCAGCTGGAGGATACCAGGCAACATCCTCCCTGCTCTGCATCACGTGGGCTTTGCAGACTCCCCAGAGGCTGGTCCCAGAGCCACACTCGTGGCTGATTTCTTCCTGGTTTTACAACAAAGACTCTTTGATTCTGGCTCCAAAACGTTCTGCGTCTGATGCAACAACTGCACAGTGCAAAACAGTAGAAAGGAGTAAAATGTTGTCTCTTTACAGACTGGAGACAGCAGGAGTTGTAGTTACCTGGAAAGGGCTGGACCTGTCACTGTTTTCTGGCACACAAATAATTCTTTCTCCTTTCTGATCAGGTTTCAGGTCGACTTCATGTTGAAGTTGTTCGAGTGAGTGGCGAGATAGATGACAGGTTGGTTGGAGGTGAGGATAGTCCAGACTATTCAAGTGAAAGTGACACTCAGGAAAGAAAACTTGTCTGCAGGGTGAGTTCCAGATACATGCCAACCTCTGAGCAACCTTCTCTCTTTCCATCTCTAGCCTTAAAGCATGTCCCTGGTGCATTGGCTTCTGAACATGAGATGTCTCTTTGTAACCTTCTGCACCATGTAGGCAGCTGCAGAGGCAGAGTCCTGCCTTTCAACTTGTTGACTGACTGTAGGAAACTGTATTGATGGTTTTGGATTTAACAACAAAAAGCACATAATTTAGCTGTACCTAATCATTCAGTCCTATGTGCAGAATTGAATACTTTTGCTGTATTTGTCTCATGGCCTTATGCAACGTCCTGGTGCCCCATGTCTGTCCTGAAGCACTGCTGCCTGGCCTTTTCTCATTATATTTTGTTCTTGGAGTGGCTGAAATAATGCAAGAGAACCAGATGGGGTTTGTTGCTTTCAATCTCCATGATTTTTTGACAGATGGAGATGAGAAGTTTATTAAATAGTGTGTTTAACCTGATGGCTTTGTTTAGATCAAGAGAACTATTCAAAACGTTTTGTTTCTATTTGGCATGGGTTTTGCAAAAGAGGGGACAGGACCCTTCTGTATTGGTGGGGTTATGTTTGTACTGATTCTACAGAATAAGGTCGTGTAGTATCTTGGAACAAGGATTTTGCAGAATAAAGGAGCCAATTTTGGTAGAACTATGAGATTTTAATTGTATTTCTCTCGAATTACAATGGCTTTTATTTATCTCACCATTAAAAATGAACAAAATGTTTTGGTGTGTTTGTAAAATTCAGCTCTTGGGCTTTTACTTCCAAGAAATATGTGCCTGGTGACATCTAGTGGCAATGTTCTACTAATGCACTCAAAAAACTGTCTCCAGTAGATACCCCTGCAGAAATTTGTATTTCACACCCTTTGCAGTGGAACAGAATTCCATTGTTCTACCAGAAGAGATTTTTAATCCTATGCCTAATCAAAAAGTGCTTTTCCCTTTGTTTCTCATCTCGTTTCTAGATTAAAATACTTCAAGCTACAGGACTGCCACAGCACCTCTCCAACTTTGTGTTCTGCAAATACACATTCTGGGATCAGCTGGAGCCAGTGAATGTTGCCCCTGAGGTGGATTCTTCTTTATCTTCCATCAGCAAGGAGCCACGCTGCATGGTTGTCTTTGATCACTGCAATGTATGGTGCTTTCCTGGTTTATTAGTGAAAGTGCAGGCAGGCAGAGCAGGTTTCTGCTTCTGTGACAGTTTTAGTTGCCTCTTTGCTTGCATTATAATATTTCATGAGGCTGATACCCTGATATCATTTTTAATAAGAACTTAAACATCTTAAACAACAAGTTGGCCAAGCATCCTGGCCTGGATCAGCACTAGTGTGCCCAGCAGGACCAAGGCAGGGATCATCCCCTGCACTCAGCACTGGGGAGGCTGACCCTCAAATTCAGGGTTCAGTTTTGGGCCCCTCCTTCCAAGAAGGACCTTGAGAGGCTGGAGTGTGGCCAGAGAAGGGCAACAAAGCAGGAGAAGGGTCTAGAGCCCAAATGTGGTGAGGAGCAGCTGAGGGAGCTGGGGGTGCTGAGCCTGGAGCAAAGGAGGCTCAGGGGAGACCTTCTGGCTCTGCACAGCTCCTGACAGGAGCCTGGAGCCAGGGGGGGGTCGGGCTCTGCTCCCAAGGGACAACAGGACAAGAGGAAACAGCCTCAAGTTGAGCCAGGGGAAATTTAGGTTGTCCCTGAGGAACAATTTCTTGCCCTGGAGGGTTGCCCAGGGCTGTGCCAGGCTGCCCAGGGTGGAGTCCCCACCCCTGGAGGTGTTTCCAAGCCGCGGAGATGTGGTGTGAGAGACACGGGGCAGTGGGGACCTGGCAGTGCTGGGTTAGTGGTTGGACTCAATGATCTTAAAGGTCTCTTCCAACTAAAACATTTAAACGTTTTGATGATTCTGTGATCTTCAGAGCCCATATAAGTTTGATTGCTCTACACTGTTCACTTCTACAAAAATCACAGCAAGTGAAGGAGTGATTAGTGGAGTGGAAAAGTGGATCATTGAAGGAAAGCCAAGTGTTCAGTAGAGAGACTTATGGCAGAGTTTACCCACAGTAAAAATGGAAGAGTGATACTCATCTGAATACATTCCATGTCCATATCTGAACTGATCACTCTATATTCTGATGTAGTGGGGAGAAATGTCCCAGTCCTGGGACATGATGCTTGTTATCCTACTGTAGATATTGAAGTTAGGTCCTGAACAGACTGTTTCTTCCCACTGACTTTCGAGCAACTGAGTGGAGGAATCTTTAGTAGAGACACCTAAAGTCAGCTTTGATGAATGCCATCCCATCACCCGAGTTCTCATCTTGTTCTTTCTGTCATTTGTTGTGACACTGAGCAATTTATTCCACTTACCATTTGTAAAAGAGCTACAACACCTTTCATGAGTTTTGATCTTCTGATTCTGACCATTAGGAAATATTTTTTTATTTAATTTTGGTTTTAACCATTGGATCAGGACTTGTGTCCTGGGGATCAGGGTGGCTTTGTGACATGCTTAGACTAAAGTCAGGATGGTAAAATTTGAAGCCTCCGTCGTTGTGTAGTCACAGCCATCAACTGCTCTGTTGCTTACATGCAGGAAGTTTCTGTAAATATTTCTGAAGACTTCATGGAACATCTCTATGATGGTGCTTTGGCCATTGAAGTGTATGGGCACAAGCAGAGCGGCGACCGCAAAAATCCAGCCCTGTGGGATCTGGGAATAATCCAAGCCAAAACACGGAGCCTGCGTGACAGGTGAGGGTGGAAAACAGGTCCTTGGTTCAGAGTTTTGGAAAATCACTGGCTGAATTGCCCAGTTTTGAAGCAGATTTGGGATAGAGTAGTCCAGATCTGAACAGCAGACAACTGAACGTGTGTTTGAGACTGTATCTGCTGGGCTATTATAAATAGACTCTGTCTATTGGAAAAACACCATGTGATGTGTCAGTGGGCTTTAAAAAAGTGAAAGAGGAGAAATTGCCCATCTCTGTTTCAAATTAAAAGTGGTGAGACTTGAGAGACTTTGAAGTCCCTTTTATTTAGGCAAACTCAAGTGCATAAGTAGTGTTTTACAAAAGAGCAACCTGGTGATCTCCCTTTATATCCTTGTGCCAGAAAGAGCTATCAAATCTAAACCAGCAAGATGTTGTTCTGACTATAGGCTGATATATTTATTCAAAGTCTGTCTCCCAATTCATTCTTGGCCATGAAATGTCATCACTGTAATGCTTCTGGTGGAAGAGCTGTGTTGCTAATTACTTCAGTTGGAGTGAATATGCAACAATATGATAATTCAGCCTGAGAAGGGGGTTGCTTTTTTTGCTGGCAGACTTTTGTTGTCCCCAAGGTAAGCTCAGTAGTATTTTCTCTATGTAAGTTGGTTTGCATCTCCAATTAGAAGGCAGCTCCACACCTTAATTTGTTGGCAGTTATTTCTCTTTTCACTTCCAGCCTAAGCTCGTGTTGAGTATTAAGCTTTATATAGGGAAATCTAAAAGAAAATTCAGGAAAATATGGCAAAGAGGAGATGGAAAAGGGATGCTATAAAATACTGAGTTACATTTGGTAGCTGAGTAGTGAGTATCTCCTTCCTCTTTAATTTTAAAGTACTACAAAAGGAGCCATTTCTTATTTAAGCTCTTGGAAGAACTGGAGAGAAGACAGTAGTCTGATGAAGTTCAGCAAAGTGCCCTGAATCTTGAAATCTTATAAGACAATGTCCTATTTTATTTCATTCTGCTGTCTTCTGTATGGATCTGATTGCACTGACAGCACTGAGCTTCTGTGGCAGAGACTGAGACCAGAGCTTAAATGTTAGAATATAGTGGATTTTTTTTTGTGGGTATTGAAATAAAGAAAAGGCTCATTTCTGATGTTTAACTAAAATAGTTGTCAGTAAAGTTTATGAACACTGCACAACAATTAAACCTGTATAGTCACACATGGTGCATCTTCCTTGGCTTCTTCAGTCTGCAGTCTGAGCTAATGCTTTAGATTTTTCTCTCTTTGTGGGAAAAAAAAAGAAAAAGAAAGAAACAGTATGTGACATGTTTTGCAGGTGGAGTGAAGTGACCAGAAAAGTAGAACTGTGGGTTCAAATCCTGGAGCTGAATGAGAATGGGGAGTACTGCCCAGTTGAGGTGACTCCTGCCAAGGATGTCTGCACAGGAGGCATCTTCCAGCTCAGACAGGTATGGTGGCACCTACAGGATTGCAGCTGTGAAAAGACCCTGTGGAGAGCAAAGAAGGTTTTATTTGATGTGCTAAAGGGTTGGTGTGCAGGGAACTGTCAAGCTCAGACACAAAACAGTGTATTGTGTTGTGGTCTAACCCCAGCTGGCAGCTCAGCCCCACATGGCCCCTCACTTTCTCCCCACCAGTGGGATGGGGAAAGAATTAAAAGGATAAAAGTGAGAAAACTTGTGAGCTGAGGTAAAGGCAGTTGAAAAGGTAAAGAAAAAGCCTTGCACAAGCAAAGCAAAACGAGGAGTTCAGTCACCACTTCCCATCATCAGGCTGATTCTTGGCCACCTCCAGGACATCCAGGCTCCATCACATGTAACAGTGACTTAGGAAGATAAACACCATCACTCCAAACATCCCCCCCTTCCTTCTTCTTCCCCCAGCTTTACATGCTGAGCATGATCTCACATGGTCTGGGATATCCCTCTGGGCAGTTGGGGTCAGCTGTCCTGTCCCTGCTGTGTCCCCTCCCAACTTCTTGTGCACACCCAGCCTGCTCACTGGTGGGGTGGGGAGAGGAGCACAAAACCCTTGATTCTGCAGGAATGGAAACAGCCCTGGGTGATCAGCACTGTTTCCAGCACAGATCCCAAACACAGCCCCATATGTACTACTACAAGAAAATTAACTCCACCCCAGCCCAAACCAGCCCATGTGTAAAACAGACGTAAAGTGGGAGGAAGTGGAGCCCCTCTGTGAAACAGCTCAGAGGAGAAGGTGATCAAAGCCTTACCTCTAATGCTTGTGGTCTGTTCTGTTCCTTGTAGCACGTGGTAGAAGGGACATCAGTCTTGGCTGAACTTAATTATTTTTTAAAGAGGTCCAGAGTTCCCCTTTATTTGATCCTTCCAGCCAACCACTCCTTTGTTCTTTGAATTCTACACACACTAAATTGTTAATGCTTAACTGAGTAGTTAACATTTTAAGTGATAAGATATTGCCCAGAGAACACTAGGAATTAGTAAAAGTTAGTTACAGGCTGCACCTCTGAAATCCCCAGCTCCTTTGATAGTTTTTTTTTGGGAGGGTTTTTTCTTTTCCCCTACAGGTCTCACTAAAGAACAGTTACTTTGCTGCATTGGTGGATAAGAATTTTTAGTTAAGAAGACCAGAGTCAGGAAAAATTCCCTGAAACTCCAGTAGCTCACCAAATTAGACTATTTTCTCTCCTCTTTAGTAGTTGGGGAAGAGATCCTATTTTACTCCTTCAGAAGGATTAAAAAGAAAATCTTGTAACTGTATGTTTTGAAAATTATCCAGAAAAAGAAACTGAATTTTTTTTTTCTGTAAATATATAAATCCTTGCAACAAAAGGAGCATCTCCTGAACACTGGGTCAAGAGATTGCAGCACTCACCACTTTGTTCTCCACAGAATAAACCCATCATGTCTCTCACAAATGACTGCCAGTAGAGGTCCCTCTGTCACTAAGCTTTCAGCAGTTTTTATTCCTTTTCCCAAACGTTTCAAATTGTTCTTTTGGGCAGGGGCAATCTCGACGTATCCAGGTCGAAGTGAGATCTGTGCAGGAATCTGGGACCTTGCCACTGATGGAGGAATCAATATTATCTGTTGGCATTGGCTGTGTTCAAATAAAACATGTCAAGTCACCAAAAGTACCTGAAAATTACCCGGTAAGTGTTTGAGTATTTCCTGCCAGCTAAGGGCTGTTTCCAAGACATGTAAAAGCAGAAAGTGATGTCCTAAGTTTGGAGGCAACTCCATTCCTTTCAAACTTTAGTTTGATTTTGGGGAGTTTTTGTCAATGTCAAGGAGAATCATCAGAATTGCTTTGATAGTGGTGTTAGGGATTATTCAGGAGAGTTTAAACCTCTGTCTTTCAGCAAGTATTGTGGGAAACTGTCCTCTTAATCAAAAATCATTTTCCATGGCAAAAATGATATTTAGAAGACTATGTTCTGTGTATCTTCTGGTGTTTTGGGGTTTTTTTTGCTACCCTAAGAGCAGCCCAGCCTTAACAGACCAAGAAGAAAATGCTGAAATTTCTAAGATTCATTAGGAGTTTGTCCAGTAGATTTTACTTCAAATATTAGATATAGCAGCAATTTTAAATTGGTATTCAAATTAAAATGAATCAGTGGAATAGATATTCAAATAGGGTTGAGTTACAAAGGGTAGAATTGTGAGAGCCAATTGTTTTCCCATAGAATATGAAGAGAGGCCAGTGTGTGGCCAGGAAGGCCACCAGCATCCTGGCCTGAATCAGCACTGGTGTGGCCAGCAGGAGCAGGGCAGGGATCATCCCCCTGCACTCAGCACTGGGGAGGCTGCACCTCAAATCCTGGGGTCAGTTTTGGGCCCCTCACTCCCAGAAGGACCTTGAGGGGCTGGAGCGTGGCCAGAGAAGGGCAACGAAGCTGCTGGGGAAGGGTCTAGAGCCCAAGTGTGGTGAGGAGCAGCTGAGGGAGCTGGGGGTGCTGAGCCTGGAGCAAAGGAGGCTCAGGGGAGACCTTCTGGCTCTGACAGCTCCTGACAGGAGCCTGGAGCCAGGTGGGGGTCGGGCTCTGCTCCCAAGGGACAAGGGACAGGACAAGAGGAAATGGCCTCAGGTTGTGCTGGGGAGGTTTAGGTTGGAAAAATTTGACATTTTGGACAAAATTTTGACATTTGGAAAAATGTCTTCCTCTTGAGTGTTGCCCAGGGCTGTGCCAGGCTGCCCAGGGCAGTGGTGGAGTCCCCACCCCTGGAGGGGTTTCCAAGCTGTTGAGATGTGGTGTGAGGGACATGCATGTTCAGGTGATGGACTTGGCAGTGCTGGTTTAATGGTTGGACTCGATGATCTTAAAGGTCATTTCCCACCTAAACAATTGTATGCTTTGATATGTTGGGCAGTTGTTTGACAGCCTCAGAAGCACTGCATCTCATCTTGAACTGCAAGTGGGTCGATGTGTTTTTAGGGGCTGTCTTTCTCCTCTCAGTTTCTAGCACAATTTGACTTTTCCCTCCGCTGAGTTAGGGAGCCAAAATCTGGTGCAACAGAACAAACAAGTCTCTCGACTTGCTTGATTAGCTGCCCTGCTTGACACAAGGCCAACTAAATGTCAAGTAGTTTTTGGGACACCTCCCAGCTTTCCAGGACGTCTGCCCTGTTGACAGACGATGATTCAGTGCATGTCTGCTCCCCGTTTTTGCTTCATTAGTATTGGTTTTCCCTTTGTGAGGTCTGAAGGAGTTGGGTTTTTTGTTGTCTCTCAACCTCAGCAGTCCCTTGCCCCTCGTGTGTCTGGTTAACAAAAAGGATATTTCTTTTTCCACATTTGCAGAGATCTCTCTTTTCAGCAGCATCCTAGGCAGATGCTGCTTTTATTCCCCATGATGTTTCTGCTGGTTCTGATGTTTTCAGGCTTTCTAGCTGCAGTCCCCAATACCCATGTCCTACAGAGCAAGTAAACTTGTTTCTCTCCTGCTCCTGAACAGATTGAGTTGCTTAAGAGATTCCCCTGAGACTGACTGATTGATTCTTGCAAATTTTACTTGAAAGCTGTAACACCCCCCCAATAAGGGGTAATGGGTTCAAACTGAAAGATGATAGGTTTAGATTAAATATAAGGGAGAGTTTCTTCACTCTGAGAGTGGTGAGACACTGGCACAGGTTGCCCAGGAAATTCGTGGATGCTCCATCACTTGGAGGTTTTCAAGACCAGGTTGGATGGGGCCTTTGAGCAACCTGGTCTAGTGGGAGGTGTCCCTGCCCATGGCAGGGGGCTTGGAACTAGATGATCTTTAAGGTCCCTTCCAAACCAAACCATTCTATGATAATATTCACATGCCCTTTTTAGCCTGTTTCATAAGAAGTCCCAGGTGGACACCCTGCCTATCTCACCCTGTTTCTTCCTCAGTGAGTTTGTGATCTCTTGACCAGTTGAAACCATATCTGACAGAGCTGGCAGTCCACAAAGTGGTGGGTTCTTCAAGAAGAAAGAGTTAAAGTCCTCCCAGGGAGGTGAACCCCCTCCATCCCTGGAAGTGTTCAAAAAATGAGTAGATGCAGCACTTGAGACTATGATCTAGTCGTTAGGGGAGTGTTGGGATGAAGGTTGGACTTGATGATCCTTGAGGTCCTTCCCAACCATAGTGATTCTATGATTCCACTAGAGAGACAGAGACTAGTGAGTTGTGTCTGACACCAATAACCCAGGTGGGAAAGGGCTCCTGAAAACCAGGTTTTATTGAGGCTGTTGCTTCCACTAGACTTCTCACTTGAGCACCTGGGTTTTTAGTCCTCTTATTAGCATTTCTTTATCTCAGGTATCTATCAGTATCTGGAATGTGAAAGACCTTGAACTAAGAAAGTGCCTCTTCTATATGGCTTTTTAATTTTAGCTTAGCTAAGTTTTTCCTTTCATTATTTAATACAAAAGTAGAGTCCAGTGGCTTGTTGTTACCCAAACAGGTAAGTGGCTGAGTGAGGACTGGGGTCCTGGTTGTTTTTCCCTCTGTTGGGCAGTTGCAGCAGTTGTGGTTGTGCTCATTGCAAGTGGCTCTGCCTCTGATAAATGTCAAGAATGAAAGGTGATGTCTTCCATCAGAAAATAATGGAAATCAAAATGTCAGGAGATCTACATTTTGACTCCTGGTGTGGCAGACAGAGTTATTCTAACTCCCTGACAGTTGGCTTAGGTGTTTACAGTTTTTCTCCTCCAAATGCTACAGCAAGCTTACCTGGAGTCCTTTGTGCCAGGCTTTGATTTTTTCAGTGCTTCCTGCAACATTCATACTCAGCTCCTACAGGTAGAACAGCACATTTTTTGTTGCTCTCCAGGATGAACATGTTTCAAGTTGTTTTGCTATAACTCTTTCTTAAGGCAATTTAAATATTCCACTTGCTTCCAGTTATGAAGACTTCCAATAGCTACATTTGTGTGAAATTTTTCCATTGTAATTGTTGGATTGTTCTAATTTGTGTTTAGATAAGCTCATAGCAGCAAATTTTGTGGATGTCAATGTGTTTGAGTTCTATCATCACACCATTGCTAAGCTCAGACTTTCATATAAGACTGCTAATACTGCTTAAAATAGTTGCAATTTTTGCATTCTATCTGTTTCCTGCTGTCAAAAAAGTTTAATGGCATGTTTTTGCATGTTTTGGCCTAGGAGGAAGAGGATGAAATGGACAGTTATCAGGTAAAACTTCTGAATTTTTTTAACAAACTTGGAGATGTTCAAATTAAAACACATTAGAGGAGGATCAGCACTGTCTCTCTGCCATGCTGGTTGGACATGCAGAGAGCCTGTCTTCTGAAGAGACAAAAAGCTTAAGAATTGTGTGGATTGTCACACAACCAAGCTGCATGGTGAGATGAAGGGGAAAGAACAAGGGCCCTTAATGTGTCTTTCCAAAAGGTAATCCAATTGCTTTTTGGGTTTGGTGTTTTGGAGGAAGGACTCCTCCTTCTTGACAGACTATAGTTAGGCTGAGATTGTCCTCGTTAAGAAGAAGAATAGGCATGGGAGTGTTCAAAGATGCAGCTGAAATACGTGATGTTGTTTCATTTTATGAGTGTTCTCTGTGTGTGAGAGCTGGAATATACTTCACAGTGACCAACCCTTGGGCAAGCAAGAGGGATTCTGCTCCTGGAGCCCTAAGACAGCAGTGATAAAACTACTGGAATCAGCATGCTATTTTTTTGTATATAATACCACAGTAACATAAGCCTTAAAGGGGGAACAGTGAGGTACAATATCTGTGATATATTTCTCATCTTCTTGTGAATATCTTGAACAAAAGCTCATAATCATCATCATTATAGGTCCCAAATTTGTATAATATGAACAACCAGAGATGTAGGTTTAATGCTCTCTGACAGACTCCAGCATTCTTGCAGGGGTCTGCGGGTGGGGAATACAACTGCAGTTTATGTTCTTGCATCCACCCTCTTTTTGTGACAAAGCATTTGTTACAGTTTGATGTGGAATGAATCTGAACTGCAGTTGCCATGAAAGAGGCTTGCCTGAAGGCGGCCCAGAGCTGATAGCTCATCTCTGTGGCACCCAACGTGCTGCATGGAGAGTATCATTCGTCATTCCTGAGCATTTCTGCACCAGAGACAAATGAACTCAATGTTCTTAAGGATACTGAGGTGTGGGTTTTTTGAAGGACATGAGCACTTCAGCAAAAAATATTTTTAAAAGGGTCAGGTGCAAATGCCATAGCGAGGGACAGTGGCATGATGCAAGGCAGGGATGGATTCCTGATGAGGCTGCTAAACAGTGAGTGTGGATAGTTAGTCATGGATAAGGACTTCCAGATTTTCTCAGTTTGCCACCAGGTAATGGTTAGTGAGTTTTAGACTAGTCTGGGGACAAAAATGATGTATAAAGTGAAGTTTATTCAGCTGGGTATTACAGAATAACAGCTAGAGAATGAGATGCCTCAGGCTGGGAAACAGAAGACTCAAATTTCACTTGGAGGTAGCCCACATCAAGATACTGTGGCTGAACCTGCTTTGTGCATAGAGCAGCATTGGACTAGACAATCCCCAGAGGTCTCTTCCAACCTCAGCTCTTCTGTTTTTCTGTTTAAGTTGTCCTGTGAAAAAGAACACGGAGAAGTGCTAAGTGATTCGCTGGGGGTCTGCTCTGTCTTTCTTACATGCTTCCTGGCTACAGGATGAGCAGAAGAGCTGAGGAAATGTGTGAGGCACAAATAGGAAACCTTGGCTTTCCTGGGTCAATATTTACCATGAGTACTTGCCTGTTTCCAGGACAGGGATTTGGAGAGGCTCCGTCGGAAGTGGCTCTGTGCCTTAACCAAGCGCCAGGAGTATCTCGATCAGCAGCTGCAAAAACTTGTTGGGAAGCCTGGTAAGCAAAATACCACTGAAGGTAAAAAAAGGGATAGGCCAAGTCATCCCCACACTTTTTATCCTAATTACTGTAAAATTTAGCAAGGAAGTCCAGTCTCTGAACTCAGCAGCAGTTTGTTTTCAGTGAGACTGAAGTCAGAGAAGCTTACATAGAATGGTTTGTTGTTCATCTCTCCTGTGTGTTTTTTGTGTGCTGAATTTCTGAGCAGAGTGGGTTTCATTCTGCTGTGAATGACATAAGAGCTTCGGCACCTGCTGAAGGCAGAGTGAGAAATGCTCTGTGCTGTCCTGACTGACACCCTGCTTCCCCAGATAAGACAGAGGACGATGCAGACCGGGAGGCACAGCTTTTGGAGATGAGGCTGACGCTGACGGAGGAGCGGAACGCTGTCATGGTTCCTTCTGCTGGCAGTGGCATCCCTGGAGCTCCAGCAGAGTGGTATGAACACACATTGCCATGTGCAACAGCAAATGGAAAAGTCATAGAATCATGAAGGTTGGAGAAGACCTCTAAGATCATCAAGTCCAACCATCACCCAACACTCCCATGGCCACTAAACTGTGTCCCCAAGTGCCGCATCTACATGTTTTTTGAACCCCTCCAGGGATGGGGACTCCACCACCTTCCTGGAGGGGTTCAAAAACTGATGCATGGCCTGTTTCTGACTTGGATTGTTGCCATTTTTTGCTTTCCTTAATCTGACCTCTGTACACTCTATGAGCAAAGTTGTTAAAATTAGGCCTCTTCCTTAAATTATTTTATTAGGCTGTGTATCTGAAATCCAGAAATGCTATTTAGGAAACGAAACTATTATTGATCAGAGTGTAATTATAACCTTCTGAAAAAAACAGAATCAATATTTATTACCACTGCACTTAGCATTACAGAAAAATTAGCTAATATGTTAATTACCTAGTTCATTCACTTAAAAGGCTGCTCCATCATAACAAAACTGCATCTACGGGAGCATTTTGTTGCACTCCTAGTTTCAGCACAAAGTCTGTTTAGCCAGCAAGTGTTCTGTGTAATTTTCTAAACATTAAAAATAGTAAACAACACTAGACTGAGATTGCTGTGCTGTAGCAGCTGTAACAACTGCAGATAAGGGAACAAGGTGGTTTCACTTCAAACCTCTTGTCTTCAGTTGCTTTCAACTTTCTGAAGTCTTTTTTTTTGAGCAAACCTCTGTGTTCAGTGGTGGAATTGAGCGTCATGGAGTTTTAAGCTGAAGTTTGTTAAAGCTAGTACTTAAAAATGGTAAATACTTGTTAGAAACACATCAACTTGCACATCAAAGGGTTTGATTAGGTTTGAGAACAGGGAAGCTGAAGCAGACTTACTTGAGGAAGAATCTGTTTTGAACACATTTGCACCAGAGGAAATATTTAGTGTGATTCAGGCACTTCATGTAACACCTAAAACTCCAGCCTGCTCCTGTTCACTATGAAGTTCATCAGGTCCATGTTTGTCATGAGATAGGTACCACCATTTTTACAGCTAAGGTTGCAGCAAGGAGCCTCAAAGTCTTTTGTGCTTCGTGTTACATTTTTAGTACCTTATTAATGTTGTGTGGCTTAAAAGTGCCAGGCTATGGAATATTTAATTTTCAAAACAAATAAAACACCACCCGTGTTACCGTTTCTTCCCTGATATGAGAGATGCCTTAAAGGGCAGCTTTGACTCTTCAAATATGTGTGTTTTGTAAGAAAGAGTAATAATAATAACTTTGTAGTGTGGCAGCATCAATGTCAGTTGAAAAACGTGGACCCTGGCTTTTCTGACTCTCACTCTGCTGTCTTCACTGCCATCACTAATGCATTCATTTAATGAATGTGTGTGTTGGAGTAAATAAACTTAGTTTTGCTATTAGCATTTTAGAGGGAGAAAACATCTCTGAAAGCAGAGGTCAAAGAATGTAATACTTCTAAGAGAGCTGGTATAAAAGAAATACCAATTGAGTTGAGTCTCGGAATCAGCAGCAGTAAATTAAAATAAAGATGTTTGCCAAGGTTATCAGTAGTCTGGCTTAAAATTGCAGTTGTACTGAATGTAATGTACTGTGGGCTTGTATCAGGAGGTACGTGTGCTGGGTAAATCTGCATTGCTTTAAATGCTGCTGTTGTCCTTCTCTCACATTTTAGGACTCCTGTGCCTGGTATGGAAACTCACATTCCTGTTATTTTCCTGGACTTGAATGGTAAGTGGTTCTTAAAATGACAGGGTGGTTTGAAACAAAACTTTGTGCAACCAATGATACTGTAGAATTCAAGCAAGCTAGTACAGGAGGAATGCTTGGAATGGCAAGTAGCTTCATTTGGGAGTGCACATTTTTCACTGAAACTTGTCAAAATACACAGCATGATATATGGAAGGAACCATAGGTTTTAATAGTCCCAGTGTTTTGCAGATATTTAATAAGTAAGATGGAAGTAGTAAAATGAGTACACTTAATGAACAGCAAAAGCCAGTGTGAAGAAAAGATTATTGTTGGGACTATTCTTTCTGAGGTCTCACAAGGATATAGCATCTGTGGTGTGGTTTCTTTACTGATGGCTTAGAAGGAAATGTGAAGTCACTGGTAATGACATCTGAATATCAAAAAATCATTGCATGACAAGATCAAGTTATTTTTCAGTGTCATTGTATGTGTTGCTTCAAACTGTTTCAAGACATCCAAGTACAAGATCTGATTTGAACAATGTATTTGTCAGATACCTCTACCAAAGGTTGGAAATTATAGCTGAGGAAGTGGCAACCCCACAGTAATCCAGGGAGTCAGCATTGTCTAAGCATCGTAGAATGGTTTGGGTTGGAAGGGACCTTAAAGATCATCTAGTTCCAACCCCCTGCCATGGGCATGGACATCTCCCACTAGACCAGGTTGCTCCAAGCCACATCCAGCTTGGTCTTGAACACCTCCAAGTGATGGAGCATCCACGAATTTCCTGGGCAACCTGTGCCAGTGTCTCACCACCCTCAGAGTGAAGAAAAGAAGAAGAAGAAAGAGAAAGAAAATCAGTTGAATGAATCCTTGTTAAGCTGTTTAAAAGAGGGTTAATGCTGGGATTAGAAGCACTGGGTGAGTGGGGAGGTGGCATCCTGCCTGGTTTGAGGAGCTCTTTGCTGCAGTGCTGTTTGTGTTTATGGTTTGAAGCACATTGATATATCAAATGGCTTCAGAGAGGAGCTAGTTAATAATTCATTCATGGTGAGGGATTTGAGCCAGAACAGGTTGAGCTTCTCCTCAAAAAACAGATTAAGGGTTTAATGATGATCTAAAAGTACTGTATTTCTACATGCTCAACCAGCAGCTTATCTTTATCTGAAAAGACCCCACAACACCTAACCAATGCCAAATGAGCAACGTGCTTGCCATGGTTGAGCAGTGGTGCTGCAAACGTACCTGTGGGCAAGGAGGGGATGTTTGCAGCTGGGGGAGATCCTGGCACAGAGGAGGATACTGTAAGGGATGCTTTTGAGTCTGTGTCCCCAAATCTTTGTGCACATGTTCTGTAGAGAAATGAGATTCTTTTGGAAGTAGAACAATGCAAGGAGCTTTTCTTTTGCAGCTAAAGTAGCCAAGCTGAGGAGCTGGTGATGGAAATGGGGATTGGTGACTTGCTGGATGTTGTTTTTGAAAAGGATAATTGCTTTGTGTCTCCTCACCTTCTGCATCCACTTCTGCTTCTAGCTGATGACTTCAGTTCCCAAGATAACCTCGACGACCCAGAAGCGGGTGGCTGGGATGCCACTCTTGTTGCAGAAGAGGAGGAGGAATTCTTTGAACTGCAGATTGTGAAGCATCATGACACTGAGGTAAGCAGAGATACAGACTAGTGTATTTAGATTAGGAGGTTTTTAGTTGTTCTCTTTATATACTCAGATGTGACAATAATGCAGCAAAAGTGCCATGCAAAGGATACAACACTTCTTATGACTGACTTTGTGTTTTCAAGGAATATTTGCTAGGAGTGTAACCATGATTTTGAAAAAAACTTAAGTATCTTCTTTGATCTAAACCCAAGCATTACAAAAGCTTGAGATTCTGTGTTTAAAAGAACAAAAAAAACCCCAAAAAACTCAAACCCTAAGTACATTAGATTGAGGAAGCCCCCAGCTGAAAACCCAAACAGTCTTAGCTCTTCCTGCCACTTTTACCTCCCTACACTCCATTTTACCACATATCTCACAGTTTTATGACTTAACAGTTGTTAGTTTGTAATTTAGGTTATTAAGTTTAGAATCTCTGATTTATTTATTTTTTTTTACCTTCAATTTTTGCTCCTTACTCTGAAACTTATTTCCTCTTGTATTTCTAGAGGGGCTCTATTCCTGATGGTTTTGGTAGTTTTTTTGTTTTGATTTGGTTTTAAAGCCTAGAAAGATGACTACGAGGCCATTTTTCTCATGGCTTGAAGATGAGACCATTTAAATCTTCACTAATACTTATATTTTAATATTCAAGAAGGAAAAATTCCAACTTCTGCTGTATTCCTAGAAATGTTTCAATGAAGTTATTTCTCAGGTACAGACAGAAGAGTTTATGTGGTGTGATGGAAGATTTTCACTGCAATCTCTGTTGCTTTCTGATTTATCTTAATAAATTAGGCCAAATAGTCCTGTCATTCTGTATGTTTTATAATTTATTTGCAACAATCCTGGATATTCAAAGATCTGGTTTTTTTTCAAGCGGAAATGTTGCAGAGTTTGAGCAAGTTGGCATTTTTAATCCCCACGTCTTCAGGTGGCAAACTAATCTTGATTTTTAAATGGCCTCTTCTAAAGTGCAGGGATTTTTCTTCGTAGGGAGTGAAACGGAGAAACCGACTCTCAAAATTTATGTATTATGTATTTTTGTTAATTATGCTTAATTAATTACAGTTAATTATACACCTAATTATGCTTATTAGAGGATACATTTTTTTTTTTTCCTTTGCAGGTGAAAGCAGAGGCCTCGTGGGATTCCACAGTCCACGACTGTATCCAGCTCAGCAAAGGAACAGCAGCAGATGAGAGGGTGTATCTCATTGTGAGAGCCACTGTCCAGCTCAGCCACCCTGCAGACATGCAGCTGGTGCTCCGCAAGCGCATCTGCGTTAACGTGTATGGCAGACAGGTACATCCCCTCCAGCCCTTCACTCTGCCTCGTGTTTATCACTGCTGGGAGAGGGGAAGGCTCTGACTCGTGCAATATGCTGCTCCTGTGACTCTGGTTTTCTTGTATCTGCCTCCATCTCTGCCTGAATGGAAGCGCCGTATCAATGCCGTGCATCGAGGCTTTAAGCTGCCCAGTAATTTTCATGGTATCTTTTATACTGTGAATGGTAATACAGCTTTTTTTTTAAAGCCTCAGTGGCAGCTGAGTTTGAGAGATTCAGTATTATTTGTATTCACTACAAAGTGCTTTTTTCTCTGTCACTGGAAACAGTAGAAAGAGTTAACTTCTCATGAGCTTGGAGTTCGTGCTTTGCAAAAGCTCTGCAAAAACCCCTCTTGTTTCCCTGCTCCTGTAGTATGTTCACACATGACTTCTGACTGTTTCTATTTATGCATCTGGATATTTAGAGATAAACTAGCCAGAGTTGGAGCAGTGGTCCCCTGCTGTAATTTGTCAAAGTTAATCACTCTTGGTATCCTATGTTTTCCAGTTGGCTTGTGCTCTTGTGATAATGCATAGGTGAGAGCAGGGTGTTTGGTGAACAGAAAGCAGAAGGTTGTCATTCCATTTGCAGCATCATGTCTTGAAAAACAGTTAATTCTTGAGAAGGGTGGTTAGAGAGTGTTTGTTCAGCATTGTCTCACAATCCAGCTTCCCCTGGCAGTGATAATGACAAAGCAGAAAGCCCGAATTGTTATTCTGTTTGCACATCTGTAGTTAAAATCTGAAGCAAGAGCAGAAGAGCTGTGGTCACACCCAGAAACCCTGTAGGCAACTCTAAACTGCTTTTAGTGCTAGGAACAGAACTACAGTTCTTGGTGCTTCAATCAGGCAAAAGCTTTTTCTCAATAATCACAATTGTGTTAAGTCTTCATCAATTCTGTTCTCTACAGGTTTAGTCAATGATGTTTTTTACTTTAATTTGAGACAGGATCTTTGGCTTTCTTACTAGGTTTGTGAAAATCCCTGTCAATAACCTTTCCAGTCTCGGCAGCATCTTCGAATGACTCATCTCTGCATTAATTCAACAGTCCAGTTCTTAACCCCGCAAGGCGCCAACTCAGCATAAACAATGACCATGCCCCTTAAATCATCCTTCATAACGATCTCTCTGGTCAAGAATTTAATGTCTGGACTTGTCAATATTCAAGACGAGTCACCTACCAAAAAAAAAACCCCACCTCCAGAACTAGCAGATGCTTTGTGTGCTGGTTAGGCGGTCACCTTGCAGTGGAGGAAGTTAAGCCTCTCTCTGTATCTGAAATACAGACAAGTGATTTCTCTCCAAGCTAAAATATTTGACTCTTATGTATTTATTGGCTCGTCTTTTGGGTTTGGACTTATTTCATTGTAAACTATACTTACTGAAGCTGAAATATGTTAAACCATATTTTCCCCTTTTTTGCCTCCCCACAGGGTTTTGCACAGAGTTTCCTCCGAAGAATGTCTCCCCGAAGTTCCATTCCTGGCTGTGGTGTCACTTTTGAGATAGTCTCAAATATTCCAGAGGTGAATAAGAAATCAGAGTATCTGAAATTGGCCAAGAGCCTCTTAACTTTCTGATCTTTCCTTTATTTTGAGCGTGCTCTTGCTGCTGCAAGCATAAACTATGGTTCTGGTAAAAGATGGAGCATATTCCTTTACATCCTGTGACTTAGCAGCAACCTATGACTTACCAGTGTCACTATGTATTTTATTGAGAGAGCATCTGTTTGCTCAGGTCTTTGAAGGAACATTTCCAAGGAAGAGAAAAAGGGGCAAGTGAAGATGGGTAGGTGAAGTGCCTGATGTAGGGAACATGAGAATATGTAAAAAACAACAAAGTGGCTTTTTCTCAGTAATGTCTTCATGCCACTCTCGATTCCTGAGCGTGTTCATAGTTAGATGCTAATCCTTTCCTTCCAAACAGATGCTCTATCAGAGCTCTTGTAAAAACATTAACACATGAAGAGCAGGAGTCAGATTGCTGCCTGACTCTGTCTTTTATGCTCTGCTGTGTATTTAGCACTCTGTGTTGAACTGTTTCTCAAGAAATGCTCTACTTTTATTTTTTTTTCTTGCAAATCACTAGAAATTGTGTTTTCCTCACAGGGTAGGTAGTCCCCTGAATAAGTTTGAGCACTTTTTAATTACTAAATATGTGCACGTAGCCCTTTTCCTAATCAGTGGTACTGTCTCACTCTGGACTCTCAAAAGCAAAACCCAAAAGAACAATACCCATGTGTAGCTTGAGCTGTCTGTGGCAGTGGTAGGGGCACACATGCAGTTGGCATGGCATGAGTTCCCTCAGTGTAACGAGGCTTAGATTTAGAAACCTCCATCAAGGCATCTCAAGCTGTCCATGAGCTTCAGGGAGAACAATCTTGAATCTGTCCTGCACATTTTAAAAATGTGGGTGTTTTCAGGACTAATGTGGGAGGTTTTAAAAGGAGAGAACAGGCTGCCAAGAGAGGTTGTGGAGCCTCCTTCTCAGGAGAGATTCCAAACCTGCCTGGACACCATCCTGGGCACCCTGCTCTGTGTGAAGCTGCTTCAGCATGGGGGTTGGACGAGTTGATCTGAAGAACTCCCTTCCAACCCCCACCGTGCTGGGATTCTGTGATTCTATAATTTCTTTTCCTCTTCCTAGGATGCTCAAGGAGCTGAAGAGCGGGAGGCACTTGCCAGGATGGCAGCAAACGTTGAAGATGCAGCTTCAGCTGACTCTGAAGCCTACATTGAGAAGTACCTGCGGAGCGTGCTGGCCGTGGAGAACATTCTCACCCTGGACCGCCTGCGCCAGGTCTGCTTTTAAGGCAGTAGGAGACAGCAGAGGAGACTTCCTGAGAACACTGTATGGCCATGCAAATGTTCTCATAAGTGCATACAATGGCTAACAAACCAAAAACACCACTTCAGTGCATACCTCAGCCTCACAAAGTGTGCGTGTGGCAAACATCCAAGGGAGCAAACCTCTCCACAGAGATGTTCTCACTCAGCTACCTGCAGGGTGGGAGCTTTATATTAAATGCACTGTTATGGGATCCTTGGTTTGTTTTTCAGACCAGGCATTGCTCATTAGGGTTCAGAAAAAGGAGCAGTGTGGCATTAGCTTTTGCTTTCTGAAGCTTGGGCTTTGGCAATAGTTCCTGAAGTTGCTAGTAGAATTCTTGTCTTTGCTCCTTTTCTACCTTGAAGTACCCAAACCCTTCCTGTCAACAAATAAGACATCGATTGGGTTAATCTTAAGTATGGTAACTTGATCTGTTTACCAAGAAAAATACAGGAGAGAGAAACATCTATTGAAAATTGTTCTTCTGGGTATAAATTATGCAAGCACAAAAGAAAGTTATGCAGAAGAAGCTGGAGTATGTGCCTGCCCACTGTAAATTAATGGTGAAGTGTGATGCACTCCAAGGATTGAAAGCCAGCTCCTTGTCATATCTAATTAGTTTAAAGGATTAAAATAGAAGCTCAGCTGGGACAAATAGGTAGTCTTAGTCTTCACATCTGTAGCAGTCATCCCCTAGAATCAGAACTAGCTGTAAAATCCTACATGTGCCCATCAGCAGTATGGTAGATGTCCAGGTTTATCCACTCCTGCACTTCTGGCTGTGTTAATGTGCAGGTCTGAGACTGAAGCAGACTTTACAGCCAGGAGCCTGTGCAGTATGACTGTTGGGAAACAGTTGTCGTGTATAGGCAAAGCCATCCTGTGGTTCTTGGAGCTTGGATTCTTGCACAATAAGCCTATTTGCTTTGTTTTGCTTCTGTGTGATTGGCAGGAAGTCACTGTCAAAGAGCAGCTGATGGGCAAAGGAAAACTCTGCCGCAGGAGCCTGAGCTCCCCCAACGTCAACCGGGTGAGTGTCCCACTGGCACCTGCAGCACCAGGCGTTCAGCCACAGGTCCCCCTGATGCCAGCCTCTTGGACTAGAGGAATAAATTCCCTTCTCTTTGTCTGTGCTCTTTGTGAGCATGTGAATCACAAAGTGGAGACCAAACCTGTGCGTATTCGTGCTTTGTCGTGCAGATGGGTGTGCTTGGAAGCACCCCCATGAATCCATAAGCATAAAAAGAACCTCAGCACTTGGGGGTTGGACTAGATGACCTTTAAAGGTCACTTCCAACCCAAACCAGTCTGTGATTCTGTGATTTTTTTCTTCCTGAACACTGGAGGTTTTTTCATTTAGCTATCAAATTGAAGACTTCTTTTTTATTTTTCTTTTTCTGTAGAAGATTTGAAAGCAACTTAAATGTATTTACTGAACTTAAACTTCTTAACAGTGTGAGTTTTCTCTTGTCCAAAATTTGGAGAGCAATATTTTGGTAGAACTGGTAATCAAACTTGCCAAATTCTGACTCCTTCCAGGGAGTCCACCTTTCATCTCTTGGATTTCAGTTCTGCTTTAACCACAAAACTATTCCTTTCCACCCTTCCTTGTGCTTGTTGAGAGGCATATTTAGTAGTTTTTCAAGGTTTTGTTAAGAAATAATTCTGCTTGTCTTAACTATTTCAGCTTTCTGCAAGCCGCCAAGATTTAGCACCCCCATATAACCTGAGTAGTAACAGGGTAAGTATCTGAGTAAATCTTATCTAAGTAAATATTCTGTAGAAAAAAGGTAGCTACAGTGACTACATTAAGCCAGTTAAAGGGTGTTTAAGTGGGAAACATCTGTCTCTGACCTTCAGAGGGGAACCAGCAGTTTTAAGCTCACAGCGGGAGATAATTCAGCCCATTACACTCCTTAAAAACAATGGTATGGATCAAAAGTATTTCTTTAAAAAGAACAAGGTTAAATTAAACTGATTTTCCAGATCCTAGGTAAACTGAAGGGTCTTCTGATAGATCCTCTGCCCAGCGAGCGTGGAGTCATTTTAAAAGGGAGAAGCTTGTGGTGACAAGGCATTTTAATGCATAATGCAGTTGCACAGAATAATAGAATTTTGATGTAGTGCTCTGGGATTGGTTACTAAATCTGCTACATCTGATCCATGTAGAGAATGCTAAAATATGTGCAGGTGATAAAGTGCTTAGAGCAACTTCTTTTTGGAGAGAATTGTGGGATGTTTCAAGACTGTAGGTTTTTAAAGTAAAAATTAAAGGCCAGAGTTCTTAATGATTTCTGTTTTTCTCCTCCCTTCCCCTCGATGATTTCTCTCATTGCATGTTTCAGAGTTTAAAGGTCCCAGCAGAGGTAATGCATTAGGTCCACCTAATGAGTGGGATAATAATTTTATCTCACTATAAAGTTTCTTTTGCTCACTTAAATGCTTCTACTTCCTGCTTTGAAGCTGCTGCTCGTGGTGTCTCCTTCGCATAGCACACAGCAAATGAGTTTTTCCATTGAAAAGCTGTCATCAGTGCAGTGTGAAACTGCTCCAGATGAGAGAAGTTTCTCCTTCTTGGGTGCATCTTATGGTTTGTTACAGAGCTGGAGCTATTTAATGGCATTTCTCACAGTTCTTTGGACAGGGTGAAGTTATTTCCTTCCAACCCCTAACATTCTGGGATTCTGTGATTTCAGAAATGGCCCCATCTCAAATTAAAAAAAAAAAAAAAAGGTAGGCATGAAAGCAAGTAAATATGTGCCAGTCATGTGTACATCAGGCTGGAGATGAGATAAGCCTTGAGAATTTCTCCCAAAGCTTTCTCAGGCTTTATTGCTTCAGCTAGCTCAGTGTTAACAACTCTTGATGCCTATGAAAGAATGATTTTAAATTAACACTGGGCCAATGGAAAACATGTTCCTCCTCAGTAATACCTAAATGCTCTCAGAGGAATGACTGTCCCCTCAGCTGTACCAAGCTCTGGCTGGTTGGTAGTTGGTTTGCATGGGGTTCTGCAGCCTTTCTCCAGGGCTGCTGTGGCTGCTGACAGACAGAGTGTGGGGCTGGGGTTGTGTTGCTTCCCTCCTTGCCTGCAGCACACTTCCTTCCAAGGCACTTGTTCCTCAGGACGTGGTGGGTGCAGACTCCTGGAAATCTCTGGGTTCAGTCTGGGTCAGACTCTGTAGAGAGGTGAACGGTGGAGGGCTGGAGCCCCTCTGCTGGGGGGCCAGGCTGAGAGGGTTGGGATTGTCCAAATTTTATTTTCCTGGTGGAAAAGGAGCTGGGGGGGTTGGTGGGTAGCTGACTGACCATGTGGCACCAGTGCCACAAGTGGCCAAGAAGGCCACCAGCATCCTGGCCTGGATCAGAAACAGTGTGACCAGCAGGAGCAGGGAGGGGATGGAGCCCTTTGACTCAGCACTGGTGAGACTGAACCTTGAGTGCTGTGTCCAGGTTGGGGCACCCCAGGATAAAAAGGAC